GAGGTCGGTCGGACCGGACAGCCCAATGGTAACGTCACTGACTGTGAAGCTGGGTGACACGAGATCGAATTTGTCAGGGAGAACCAGGTCCCTCAAGATTACAGGTACACCTTGACTACCTACAACCACCATCTAACTTCTGTATAGTCTTTGAAACCTTTGAAATCATTAAGAAAATCTCTTTTGTGCGATGATAGAATCAAAAGGAATGTACGATGCGTTAAATGTCCATTTCTTTCTGTATATATATAGTACACAACACAATTTTTTAAATATATCCGAGTATTGACTTTTTATTTACGATAATGAACGTAGGGACGATAGTCAAATCTATTTGTAGATATATTTCCCTGGAAATTTCACCTCTGATGAGCCTTGAAATATCACTAATAATTCCCAGATTCAATTTAGATACCTATATACCGCGACTCCTTGATTTTCACTTCGCCCTAGCTAATTTTTCAAAAATATTAGAAGGAAGCTTTACCTGATAGAGATATAAGATTGGTTAAATAAGGCGCAAGATGAGTAAAAATATGTGTACAATAACCAGATGAATAGGGCAGAAATCTAATGAACCAAAGGAATTACTGATCAATAGGAAGACAATCCCTTTAATTACAGTAAAAATGAAACCCTCTCCGTGAGGAATTTCGGCTTAGAAAAGGTAATTTAAAATTTCAATCAACCAGTAAGTGGCTTTTTGGGGGATTTAATAACCTCGAAATTTTTCCTGTCGTGCAAAGAGTTCATAGAAATTCAAACAACGAACAAGTCAATTCATTAATAATTGTCCATAACTCTCTTTTCATTCAGTTAGTTATATATATCATAACTGAAAATGTAAAATAAAGTAGTACTTTCTTACTGTGATTAATATAGCAAAAACTAATCGTGGACAAGAAGAAAGACAATAGTCAACTACATATAATGATCATGACTACAGCCACCAAGGTTCCGCACAAAATATTCTTATTATAAAATCATCATTAGCTGATAATACTATGCACCTTTAAGCAGTTATAAATGTAGAATCCAAACTACGGTTTGGACTGAAGAATAGCCGTTCAGGTAAGTTAGACACGCGCCCTTGCCCGTCAAAATCAAAACAAGTAGTCGGGTAAATGACGGTTCTATAATTCATCATAAATTTAAATGTACACCGTTATCTAAACAAATATTACCACCCGGCTATTCAACCAATAATTGTTCAATCAATCAAATCTTAATTACAATAAATAAAGAAGTTGATAAAAGATGCGGGAAAAATTACCAGTCACAACAAATGAACACTATTCTATCCTGACTGGATAGAACACGCAAAAAAGAAGGATCAAATCAATATGGCTGCCGCCAAGAATAATTATCAAGTAAAACAACATAGATGAGGTTCGGTAAGAAACACAAAAACTTAGTGAAGGCGTAAGAAAAATAAAAACTATAATAAAAAAATACAAATATTAACAACCCACATGTAATCAAAAGACTAACAATGTACAACTAAGTGAATCAATAGGAACAAAGTGCAAGTGTATACATGGAAGGATTTTCACACACACCAAACATCCAAAACGGATCTTACAATAAATTCTGATTAACCAACAGAATAAACTATTTATATACTCGCATGATGAACGGCAAAATATTCATCATTAATCTAACATAGTTTATTGACTATTATTTTTAATATTATTGTTTATTTTTCCGTAATTGTTCAGTGACACTTTCAACCAATCAAAACATTTATTTTGTTTTAATGAAACTAGCCAAGACAACTAATCATTGCCAAATGTTAGCCAACGTTTACTGATTATCATGGATTTATTCTCAACGTTCCCATGTAAACCTAATGTTTCGCCCCGTGTAATAACGGTCATATCTGCGTTTATGTAATCATAGAACTAGTCATTTTATTAAATAACTAGACAGAGTCCCATGTGGCAGCAACACCTATTTTAGCTAAAAAAAGAAACTAACTTTGGTTCTCCATATCTGAAAAAATACTCAAAGTAAAACAGATTAACATTTTATAATACAAGACTAGCCAGCTTGCCTGAAGAAGTACGTCGACTTGAGTAGCAGCAGCAAAAACCCAGAAAACAACGCTGAATATAAGAAAATTTGCGCCGACATTTAGAGTATTAAAATAACTGCGGCATTTCAGCACACTGAAACATTAAATTATATGGCTACACAAAAGAAATAGCTGAAAAAACACAAAACGAGGAAAGCCGACCGCCATTGCTTACAAAGATGACGGATATAATAACTCCCACCTCATTCGGATTGGCCGCTTAGCAGACAGCCACGTTTACGAGATCGGGTTGCGTTTGATTGCAGCCGATTATCATCATCAATAAGACAGTCATTAGCCGTTAAAGTGAATATATGAAATTTACAACTTTCTAAAACGAGATAATTTTTTATAGTACAGGGAGTTAAAAAGTGACATACTTCCCTCTGAATGCATGCATATTTGTAAAGATCTTAGCATATAAATCGAATGAATATTGTATACTCACAAAAACTTACTCCTCTTCATGAATAACAAATAAAGATTTTGATTGTCACGATTGAAAGGAAGCAATATCGATGCGATTAATATTTCCGATGAACGTGACAAGAAGAATGGGATTATGTACCAGGTAGATATTACGAAATACCTATAAAGTAGTTTACAGATTATTTAACCTTACAGCTCTGTATAATATCGAGATCACTGTATTACTAATTTTCTGTCCGATGAAATGAAATCATCAGCTTTCGAAGATACTATCGATAAGTGATTCTTGCATTAATTGAAACTATTTTTCAGATAGTGATCAAAATTATAACAACAAAATACTAGTAAGTGGATGTCGTTTATGTCATGTAGTTAACAAACAGACTTTAATTGAAGCATATTCGTAAATCACCCGAAAATATAAGAAAAAAACAAGACGAGAAGTTAGCGATGGTATTAGAATCATTAAAATGTGGACATACAATTGACTTCAATGTAAAAACGGGCTGCAAAAACGTTTTGCTTCATACAAAGACATACTGACAGTGGAGGCCCTACATATAAGGGATGGAATACGACTAGCTGTCTCATAGCAACTTATAAGTAAATCTGAATTTTATTTGACTGCTTCTTATCTATCTCGTGTTTTGTGGACAACAATGGTGTACTTTCATTTGTTTAGATTTACGATGGACAACCAGCTTTCTTAGGCCAGTAACACAAAATTACATTTATTTGACCACATCCTATGTATACTGTGACAAACTTGATTTATAACATTTATCAGACTGTCTAATTTCACCAATGACCATAATCTGAGGCTATGTATAGCCAAAGTATTTCCCTTACATCAGATCTACATACAACTATCATCTTACCACGATTTCCACACTTTTCATATCAAATTACTCATACGCAATACAACAAACTTCACATTTAGAATCGCTAACAGGATTGGAGGATTAGTTTAAAGCACAGTTAACTTGTGAACCATGTATTTGTATTCAACAGTTTTGAAGTTTGATTATTTGTAATTCATTTTCGTATTGTTTGTATGAATCTTCCCACTGATGTTTAGGACTGCAATTGATCAGTCTCTTATTGACATATGTGCATCTTGTTTCTGTATTGCCTTAAGTCACAAGTATTTTAAGCAAAGGTGGATGGTGGTCAGCAGTGGAATTCAGTTGACCATTCCCAAACAGGAAGAAACGCGCGTCCTGAATTCGTCTACCAGCCATCGTTCATCTTTGCTTACAATTTTTGGTTATTTCTCTTCAAACATTTAGACTAGATTACTGAGGGCAATGTTAGGTTTATTTTAAGTTCAAACAGTGAAATTTTTACAAATATAATTTTTCTTTTAATGTCTTATATTAACTCGACGCCCAAATATGGTGAAACTATTCGTTCAATTTTAGAAAGAAGTTCTTATAAATAATCAATTTTACGCTAAACAATCAACTATTTTATGTTGATTAGGAATCTAGAATTAACTAATGTATAGAAATTCCGTAGCATTTCTAGACATAAAAATCAATCGAACAGACAAAAACAATAAAAATATCTGCTAACTGTGAATGAGTTTAAAGAAAAAAACAACATCAAAAAATTACGTGTAAACATGATGCACACTAAAAGTAGAACCAGTAGGGATGTAAAAATATTTTCAAAATACAAACTAACTAAAAGTGAATGTAAGAGACTAATTATAAACAAAAAAATAAATGTGACATTTTCGATCAGTCATAAAACAAAACTACTGTAAGTTCTGCACGTCGATATATGTATATATATTTATAAAATGTACTACATAAGAGATAAATGATATTACTTCACCACATAGATATCATTGCATGAAACAAACGGTAAATGTAACAACTCAATACGAAATCAAGATAATAAAGGTGCAAAGTAGTACGAAAAAATCACCTAAACAAAGACATGTTCGAACGAATTAAATGATCAGAAGCAAAAACAAATGAAAAAAACTATAAACAGACGTGTATGTATGCTTAAGGAAAGTTTAGAACAAAGGAACAATGAAGCAAAAAGCAGCAACAACAAAAATAAACACAAGCACAACTACTAAGATAAGAAACGTTTCTTAAAAAATGGTGAAATAATCATTTACAAATAGAAAAAAAGGCAAAAAAGACGTTATTTATCACAAAGAAAATGGAATACAGCAAATTAAGAATAAAGCAAATAAACAAGCATAAACAACCAACGTATAGAGGACATGTTCAGGTCAGATGTATAAATTAGTAAAACAACCGTAGATTTACATGTTGAACAATGAGCATTCCAATGTTTAATGTTTAAATCTTAAGAATAGGAAAACAAAAACTCCATTGGTTTTAGAAATAAATAAATAAGCATTATCCATCAAATCAATATTCCATTTAAATGAGGTAACCTATAACAGATAGAGTAACTAGTTATACAAGAGTATAACATAATAATATAAAAAGTAACGTTAAAGTTATATCATGATGTACAATTGTAAAGAAAAAAACAAAAATGAAATTATGAACCACATAAAAGCTAATGAGACATTGACACGATTACATTACAGAGCAACAAAGTCACTTTGTGTAGGATTATTTGATTTGTCTAATAGTGAGTGAGGTAATGATTGATGAGAGTTAATATATACAATGTTATGATTGTAAAATACTCATCTAAGAACGAATTTATTAAATGAATAGAAATGCAGATTGTCAATATTTTGTAGTGAAAAGTGAATGACTAACTAATACTACTACTAAGAGATAATGGCTTCCACTACAGAACTAGTTGCAGATCTACTCCCTTGTTTCCATAAACATTCAGGATCGAATGGTGAGTGTACAATAACTTGGATAACAAAACCCAATGGTATATGACAGTCTTTAATCGAAAGTCGATTTGAGAGAGAACGACCACACACAAACCAACGCTGTCTAAGCTCATGCCAACCGCACAGTGAAGTAAATAAACGTTTGGCTTCCAAAACTGTGATATTTTGATCACCGATTTCTAGTGTATACTGTTCACCAGTAGATAATCTTAAATTAAGACAAGATGATGGTGGAGATGATGAATTATGGTGTGTAGGATCAATTTTGTCACATGCTGATTGATCATGATCACGTCTGCACGAATTAAAGTTCCATTGTAACCAATGAGGTGATCCGTCTCTGTTCCTGCGATTTCTATGACAAAATGCATTGAACAATGACAAACACCCACACACATCGTTACTTGATGGGTCATTATTACTATCGGCACATTGTTGATGAGAACGAACTCTTGTGTTATTAAAGCCTGAAGTGTAGGTATTTGAATTTCTGAGCACAGCAGATATATTTGGTTGAGAGTGTAAGCTTTGTGAATCAGGAGTAGATGGATCTGGAATGAGATTACTTGGCTGACTTAGGACGTATAATGGAAGCTGATAATGAGCACCAAGTTCATCATAGCAGTCATACAATGTTCCTAACGTTAAAAATAAATAAACGCATCTAATGTATATAATATAATCATAGTTTTAGTTATTTATATATGAGCTATACGTATTATACAGTAAAATAAAGTGGTATGCGATAATATAATAATTACTGGATATAAACACATACCTATTATAACTAATGATCAAAGGAATGAAGTAAATAAGTATGCCAAGGGAAACAATACAAATGAAGTGAACGAGTTTGATTACCGAAGTCAACTTACTTGAATAAAACCAGACTGAATACATTATTAATATCACACACTTTTATACCTAACCTTTCGCCCACTACGTTTTTTCGGTATCTTATGGATTTCTGCAGATGAAAGCAGTGTATAACTATCATCTTAATTAGCTTCAAACTGTAGCATTGTACCATATTATTAGTTAGAAGTTTTAAGATTTACATGCTCAACTTTAATTAATTGCCTCAAATACACAAATATTTTAGACAATATGACTGCTTATATACAAAACATTGCTGTACCTTAAATATTCGATTCAGCAACCCAGACATTTTATTACACAAACGTTAAATTATTACATTTGCTGACGATATCTAACACCACAATAACGAAGCCTTTCGCATGAGGATATGACAGAGTAGTGAATGGAGCGGGGTTACAATCGGTTATTAAATAATGGCTAAATCGGTAAGTTAGAGCTACAAACATATTGGTTTGAAGAGTCAGATCTGACTACTACTAAAATCAGCTTTCAGAAGTTTCTACATTTCACTTACACCTCACTAGGACAAACTAAACATATCCAGTCTAGTTCACCTAAATGCACATTGAGCTGTTTTTTATTCATGGTAACTTTTTACACCAATGAACCAATGAAGGTGCAAAAAACTTTCGGCGAAATTCTGAAAATTGCTAAAAAAGATATGACGAGAACGCACATAAAAAACTAACTACAATGTAGTATGATTCTGATGTAAATTGCATATTATCATTTACAATGTGATTTACATCAGAGTTCATGCCTTAACACATGTGGACAAACTTCTTGATCAATCTTTATAGTACGTAAGATTCTACAGAAAGAGCATCCAACAGTTTAGAATATAACAAAGGAAGTTACCTATCTATCTGACCATCTGCGGTTTCCCAAAATTTTAGCTTAATGTACTAAATTGAGTAGGTATACAAAGTATTCAAATATTGCTAGGGAATACATCAAAATCTTTACCTGATGGAAGAGTAATACATGCTCCATCTAAAATCGCTTGAGCCATATCATAATCTTGTTTTTGAAAAAAATCAGCAACTACTTTCAGAGCATTCCAAATCTCAACTCTGCCTTCAGCAGCTGGAGCTGTATCCCAAAATTCATCACGTTTCCTTTGTAGCTGACTTAACGAAATAGGAAAAGTACTACGCCAACGAGGAGAGATTCGTTTAAGTGGTCTATTTTTGCCTAAATAACAAAAAACCAGGGAAATTTATTTTCAACGAGTTGATTTTTTAGACTTTTGAGAATATAATACCATCTGCTTTTATAAAGTAATCAAAATTTTCAGGGACTGTAGTAAGGTTCATAAAGTTACCGAGTATCATGGGATCCGAATGTCAAAATATGACTAGAGATAAATTTGAAAGTAACGTTCGCTCCAAGACTGATGATAAACACAATATATCATTGACTTTAAGGCTTGTAATAACTTGAATTTAATGTCTCGGAACTTCCTAACATACAGCAGTTTAAAGGTATATAAACGGAAAATGAGGTTTCTGTGAGCAGGCTCAATCATCACCTATAGTTCTGAGCTTTTCTTCTGGTTCATTTCTACACAATGTGGTAATTAATCAAAGGATACGTTTGTGTACCTGTGAAGAGATTTTATTACTAACCAGTAGTTCGGCCAAGGATATGATTTATGTATGAGTTAGTTTCAGGCACATATAACGTTTTTGTTGTCAGTATCTGTCCGAAAATGCAGAAATATTTGACACAGGAATAGCCCGTAAGGCTTCATGGTCATCAACCAATTAATGTTACTCTACACTGCAAAGGAGTCTGATGTTAAGCCTACTACGTTTGCCAAGTACACATAACAACAAACTTGTTTATGACTCAATAAAAGGGATTACCGCATACTTCAAACCAGTGAAAGATATTTATGTAATGTGCAATAATAAAATCTAGAAAAGATTGGTATAATTACTGAACCACATAAACTAAAAGCATATCACCCCTATACACTTGCTGAGTAAACTTTTTATTATGCAAAGATAACAAGGCTTGTTGAATACACATTACTTAGATGTAAAGGGTGACTGAATCAAACAACAGGCGGGATCTTCGTTAGTTTATATCAGGCACTAGCAACAACAAGACTGGCATTTAAAGACAATCTATGAGATTATTGGCAAGCTCATCACTAGGGTCTGAATATAAATAGTCTGAATGGAGAGGGTAACTTATTCAGGAGTTTCAATGGATTATATCAAGTGTACTCTAATGAGTAATTTGTCATTTTGGACTATTGTCAAAACAATCGTAGACATGAAAACGCATGCAAAATCTACGGGATAAAACTCCATGTCTAAGCAATTGGTCGCAAGAATACTTGAGAGGATTTTTAGGCCACAAGAAAGACCAAAGTGCAAGTACTATACAGTAACATCTGATTCATGATTAACCCAACAAAATCATCGTGTTACCACTTAGAAATGTGAATGGCATGTAGTTGTGTTTAAAAAAATTTGACAGATTGTTGTTTATTATCTGGTATACATATATTATACATACAGGATGTAGTTCACTACATGTCTTTGTGAACGGATTTCGTGGTTTTATACTGTGTCGACATTTTGAATAAGCAAACTCATCTGACATTGCCTAATATGTCATGATTTTACTCACGGCTTTGTGGATTACTGCTGGAATACTTTGGCATCATTGAGATACTGAAATTCAAAGTGAAAACGTATACGCGACAAGATATCAGCTGTACCGAAATCTAGCGCGCATTAAATTAGTCGAGAAAAACAAAATGTTAAAAAGTTGATATCAAATTATCTGTTCGAATAAGATTACAAATCACTTCTCGTTACAGGGATAATCAAGTTTTATACTATTCAGACATTTAGCGCGCTGTTTGCTTTGAACTCTGCGTGTAATGTAGTTCTCGATATGGCTTTTTCAAGAATGTTTTTTAAATGATTGATTTTCTCGTACTGACAATATAGCTTCATCAGCGCTATGGATATTAGTGATTTTAATAGGCAAGTCTGTCTTTGTTATCGCCTATATACCATTGGTGTTATTCAACGAATTTATGATAAATATTTAAAATCCTGGAACGTAATATAAATAATGTGTCTATTCAGAAATATTGTACAAAGTTGGATAGCACTTTCTTCTGGTACTGTCTGGCAGGATGTAGAGGCCATGTAATAATACTTATTACGTCTGACCGAAAGATGTAGTTTTATACCTTAAATAATATTATGACATATAACATTCGCATTATGTATTTGTTATTATCACATGGTTTTGTTTTGTTGACCCATTGGTAGTTCGTTGGTTCGCTTTAGAGTCTTGATGTTGATGCCGGTTTCAGATGTCGGTAGCATATTTCCGTGATTACTATATTTTCAGTGATTTCGACAGTTTTTTTTAGATTGGAATGCCTAAGCTGATGTTGAGTTTGCTTCACAAGGAGTGATTTGTTTAAAACACTTTGTAAAGTAATGAGATGGCTGTTCAATAGTTATTCGATAAGTGAAAATAGTACGTTCTTTGTAAGGGAGAAATTAGTAATTATGTTAATACCTTGCCCTTGTCGTCTTTCACTGCTTCAGCTAGGGAATGGCCGTCTGACGGCTAATAAGTAGCAGTTCAACCTATTAAACTAGCCTACTGAAGAGTTTGAGTTACATCAATATCTTTGTGCGAAATTGATGTGTTGCAGTAGATGAAATTTATTCATAATCACATCTGGGCCATTTACTCCATTTTTGAAGCACATCGCTTCCCATCGCTAGTCAACAATCGTCATATTTAAATAGTAGCGTTTAAGCCTGTCTAATCATTTAGAGGGAAGTGGATATATTTATATATTCTTAAAAAATGTAGTTGTAAAATATCTTTCTTTTCACCCAGCAATGTGTACTGATCATTTGGCGCTTTGGACTTTTACAGTACTGCATCACTCTAATAGTAAAGGTAGCTTTGGATGCTGGTGTTGGTTTTTTATTCCTTGCTACTATTCAGACCGTGTAAAAATATATGTTACATATATGTTCGTTATAAACTGGTTTGTTCCACAATACTGAATTCCGATTTCCTATCCATATAAAGTTATTCCAGCATGTCCTCCGATTCTCACACTCCTGAAACTATCATCTAAAATCTTCTGGTCTTCTAACATGACATTCGTAAACACTCCCATTATATTGTTTGTTTACGAAATTGTTGTTGCCAGTAATACGTATTCTTGAATATAACGTATTGTTCCCATTTATTTTCAGATATGAGTGGGTTCAGCTAATTGATCCGAAATCTCAGCAATTGATGTACATCAATCTGAAGTCTGGCGAATGCAGCCGAGATCCTCCCAAAAATACACAATAGTGAGTCGTAGCCACTAATGTGATCATAATAAGTTACAATAAGCCATCCTTAAACATGAAGTTGAGAGTTCGAAAAGAATAGAGTTCATATCCAATTATTTTAAGGATTTTAAGTTACAGAAGGGAATCCGATCATTAGAACGATATTTTGGTGGTTATAGCCATCAGTTTTCAACCATGAGGTTGCGAACTTAAACCTCGTTCCATCCAATTCCTTTCGGATAATCTGGTTGTATCACTAGTGTTTACACATGCAGTGTAGTTTTATGTTAAGTACTGAGATTCATTGATTTTTTGTTCGATGATCAATTTTTGTATCCATTATTAGTCAAATTTGTTCGTTTCCCAAAAAATCTGACGACTAACTTGGATATTAGTCATATTATTTATGTCCTACTTTGGGAAAAATACGGATTTTACCAGTCAGTTGTACCGGTCCTTTACACTTGAACCAGATAGATTCGGTAGATATGAGACACAGTTGTTACCAACGTATAAACCACTAGTCTAAACAATAAAATCCATTTCATATGCCTATTGTTATTATTATTATCTCGGACGTGGTTTAATAAATCGGCCGTCCGTTTTTAAAAGCCTGCATTGTTGACGATGCAAATTTTCAAACATTCATTCAACACTGCATTGTAAGAGAGTTTATGAATATCCAAAGTTCAAAACACCAGTAGTAAATGTGATATGATGGACAGGAATTAAGTCTAAGAGTGGGGTCTGAATTTGTTGTAGAGTTAGCAACCTATGGAAGTAATTGCCTCCAATCGCCTATGACATTTAACCAAGCTTATTTACGTTTTAATTTGTATGTATGCAAGGTATTTCACTAGATAAAAAATTATCGTTTCGGCTAACGATCTTGTACTTTATATCAGTTAATTCCAAGGTTTGAGTCAGAAATTCAATCTCATGAGTAGGTTTCATTCAGGCACATTCTATCTTTTCTCTCATATATCGACTGACATTTTACTTAATCATTCCAACAATTCAAGACTCGTTCACCACTTGTCGTTAGTCCTAACGTGTAGCAAAATAAAATGTATGCAACATTATAAGTCAGTAAGCGACATACTTATCTCAGATTTGTGCGCTTTTTTAGTTAAAACAGCCTCAGTATTATGTATTTATAGTTATACATTATCATGTGGGGTTTATTTATTTATTTATTTTAACACGTAGATATTGGTACAAGGAGGCACCAAATACATATGCGCCACACAAATCTCATTAGATGTGTGAGGGCTGTGATACTGCCCGGGTGCCCAAACCGAAGCAGGTGGTTTTCTTAGGGGGCCACTCCCCGAGCCTTCGACCTGAATTTCTGATCCACAAGGCAGTGTAGCATCGTAAGGAGATGCGGCCCCATGGAAGCCGGTGACCAACGACTGGTTCATCCGCCATTTGTTCCCGCAGGATACTGGAGCCCATGTGCACCATTGGCTTGGAATCCAGTTATGCGCCGGACATTCGCTTTTCGTCCTCTCATTTTTGTAAACAACACCCCGGCCACGAGAAAGTAGTGAGTAGGACTTCCCTGGCAGAGGCTGTATACGCGTGGCCATGTAAGAGCGTCTCGAGAGGGAGAGCGGACTCTCCGCACTTTCGGCCGTACCAGGGCATTTGGGGGCTCATGTGGGGTTAATCAAAGAGAACCTTCTTTCTTTCTTCACTTTTTATCATAATTGTTCATTAGGTTCTTGAAGCCTTGGATATCGATCCTGATCTCACCATCACAGGAAACCCTTGGATTATATAACCTATCGAAATTGTTTGATGGTGTTTGCTGCTTTTGTAGAAGTGCCACAACATAAATTAGACAACCTTACAGTAATACTAAGCTATATAAGTCTTCAAGTCGTTTCTCTAAAGAGGTAGGACCCCAGGTTTAGTATCAGGTGCAAATAATAAACTAATGGATCTTGCTATAATTGAATTCACTCTCTAATTAATTAAGGCTTTACTATCAGTTCTAATTCCTGTCCATCATATCACATCTACTACTCATTTGATCTTAAATTTCATTAAACAGAGATAAACCTCTGAATATTCGTAAACCCCATTACACTGGAATGTTGGTTTCACATTTTAGAAGTCGCGTCATTTCTACTATATATTTCTGTATAGTCTTACCATGTCAAGTTTTTTCGAACGTGTAGTTTAGATCGTATCGTCATTTTAACCTATTAGGAAATAAAATTCTCAGTTCTTATGTATTGTTCCGTATCATCGATCGCCTCATTCTACTAAGTAAACAATCATCAAGTTGCTGTGCAGCATGTTAAGATGTATGACTTAGTTGAATTAATCTTCCATTCTTTCATATCGTTAGTCATCACTTTTTGTTGTAATTCTAGTAAAGCTGTTTCACCCAATCAATGGTGGGAATTGTTCGATATAAAAGTCCAAAGAAATTACTATTATAATAGTACCACCCGAGAAACCGTTTGGGAGAAACCAGTTGATGGTGATATTATTCCTCTAGCAAAAATCCAGGTGAGCATAGTTTCTTTGTTAATTGATTTCGTTTCTTAGACATATGGTTTATAAACTTGTTGCTTTGTACTAACCTATCATCAACTACAGAAAAGTTTAGTTTCATACTTTAGTCAGTCAGTCAATAACAACATAGAACTTCGTACGTACGTACATCAGTTCGATTTACCACACCACATTAGCTCAGAGATGCACTTGTCGATTCAAATCCCGTAGTGGTAGAGGTAGCAAGAGTATAAGCAGTAATCGGGAAGATTAGGGTTTGGAGATGTTATTTAAAGAGTATAATACAGTGAAATAAATTTGGAAAGAGAAAAAAGAAAGGGACGTGAAGAGTTCAGAAGATTAGAATTTGGGAGAACACAAAAAGTGGATGCACCTGCGCCATTGCAAACGATTTTGAGCCATGTCATTCAGGGTCTCTAACCATCGGTTGTTATCATCTGGCGGTCCCCAACCAGATAGTCCACACCTACCAATATAACTCAGTCCACTTGTCAGCGACTTCATTGACTTGTGCCATGTTTTGTTCTGGTCACCCCTAGCTTTCTTCCAACCTACTCCTATACCACTGAACATAGCACGTCGAGGCAGTCGGTCGTTGGGCGTACGTAACACGTGTCCCAGCCATCTCAACTGATGAAGTTTCACTACTTCATCAATTGATTTGCCATCCTTACCTAGTACCCGTTTCCTAACAATTGCGTTACTTACTCGATGGTCCCAGGATATACGAGCAATGATTCGAAGACACCTATGTTCAAATACTAGTAACCTACTGATATCCTCTACTCTTACCGGCCATGTTTCACTGCCATAACGTAGGACGGAACGAACTGCTGCGCAGTAAACACGTCCTTTGGTTGATAGACGGATATCTCGCCTACGCCATAAATGACACAAGTTGGCAAAAGCTAGTCGAGCCTTCTGTATCCGTGCTGAGATTTCGTCACACACCAGACCACAAGGGCTGATGAGACTTCCAAGATAAGTGAAGCGGTCGACACGCTCAATTACTTCACTCCCTATCATTAGTTCGGGTGTCGATGCAACCCAATCCTGAAGCAACATTTTGCATTTCGAGGGAGAGAATCGCATCCCGAACATGCTTGCATTGTTGCTTAGAGTGGTCAGAAGACTCTGCATTTTGTCAGCGTCTTCACCAAATAAAACTATGTCATCTTCATATTCTAAGTCAACAAGTGAACCTCCCGGTAGAAGTTCAACCCCTGGAAATCTACATGAGGAAAGTGTTATCTCTAAAAGTACGTCAACCACAAAGTTGAACAAGAATGGAGAGAGTGAGCAGCCCTGACGAACACCACTTGAGGTGATCAATTCTGATGACAGTTCGCCATAAGCTCTCACTCTACCAGTTGTGTTCGAGTAGAGAGCCTTTATAAGGTTAATGTACTTCTTTGGTACTCCTTTCAGTGACAAACACTGCCATAGAACCTCACGATCAAGATAGTTGAATGCTGCTTTGAGGTCGAGAAATACTACCATTGTGGGGCGTCTGAATGTGTGTCTGTGTTCTAGAACCTGACGTAGTGTGAATTTGTGGTCTATACAACCACGTCCAGGTCGAAAACCAACTTGATTTTCTCTAGTCTGCTCTTCATGAGCTTTAGTTAGGCGTCGAAATATTATTGAAGCTAATATTTTAGACACTATATTTGTCAAACTGATTCCTCTGTGATTGTCACAAGAGGACTTTTGTCCTTTCTTATAGACTGGCACAATCAGTGACTGAGACCAGTCAGATGGGATTACGTCCAGTTCCCAAATTCTACCTAAGACCTCAGTTAATCTCACTGCTAATACTGGACCACCATCCTTAAAAATCTCAGGAGTAAACCTGTCAGGGCCTGCTGCTCTCCCTCGCTTCAGATTTCCTATGGCTTTTTCAACTTCGTAAAGGGACGGAGGACCTACATTAACTTGCCATTCAGGTTAACTGGAGATCGTGGGAAACCGAAGTGTGGCTGAAAGCCGGTTGAACTGATCCCTGAAGTGTTCTGCCCATCGATCCAATCTCCTGGATTGAGAATGAATAATATGTACATCTTTCTCTGAGATTGTTTCGCTAACGGTCGGTTTCCTAATACCGGTTTCCTTAACAAGTCTGAACAATTGTCTGCTATTACCTATTGCCGCTGCCTTTTCCATCTCTCTTGCTTTCGCTACCCACCACTGTTCGCGATCATTGCGTAGACTTCTTGTCAGCTTGTGCCTAAGCTGACTCCGCTCTTCACTATGTTCAGAGCCAGGTGGAATGAGTTTCCGAGCATCTATCAGTGCGATAGATGCTGCTGAGATCCAATGTTCCTCCCTAACCTTACGGTTTACCGAACTAGCAGATATTACTGCTGTTTCCACAGCTTTTCGGATATCATTCCATGCTGCATCGGAGTAGGCATCACATACATGGCTGCCTAACTGTTTTTCTAGTTGTTCCTGAAATATACTCTTAGTTTGACTATCATTAAGTAGACCCCTGAGAGGTTTCCTTGCAGCGTCTTTTTTACGTCCAGTAAGACGCAAGCAAATACGCGCTCGCACTAGAGCATGATCTGAATCTAAGCATGTGCTCAGAAAAGAGCGACAGTCTTCTATCGAGCCCCTCCATCGGTGACTGATAGCGATCTGATCTATTTGGGTCTAACGTTGGGACGAATTAGGGAGTCGCCATGTTAAAAGATGTATTTCCTCATGCTTGAAGTTAGTATTTGCAGGAAAGAGGCGGTTATCTGAGCATAGCTGCAACAGACGGTCGCCATTATCTGTTCTTTGAGCCACGACACCATAAGATCCACCTAGGTGTCTTTCCCTTTCGCTTGGTTTACCTACTTGAGCATTAATGTCACCGGCCATTATTACTACATCAGAGCGTCTAGCTTTTCGGAGAAGGTCGGAAATCTTTCTGTAATACTCATCTCCTACATCATCTGAGCTGCAGTTAGTGGGAGAATAGGCAGAGACGACGAATAGGCAACGACGAATGATGCTACTCGGATCCTGTATGCGCGTTTCGGAGACGCAGCACACATCGATGGCGCGAGATTCTAAAGTCCTAGCTAAGGAAGCCTATTGTCCTATTTGGCACAGTGTCTGGACGTTAAAAGCTCCTACGTGTAGTTTAGAACGTGGTTTCAGGAGACCAGGAATAGCGTTCCGCGTACTCGAATCGTTTGCCCTAGCGGTACGAGGTGATAAAGAGACGTGAGGAGGGTTATTCGTGGAGATAAGAAAGTTATTAGGAGGTGTACGAAGGATTTGAATGTGACAAAGGTGAGGTGTGACATTTTTAGGGTCGACCTTTTCTAACCCCACCCCTCCTTGTGAGATGGCAGCACCGCTGCAGATGCTGGTTGTCCAAGGGAAACACCTTACTGCTGTCACACCCCTCTACAGTCAGCAGTACGACTTCGCCCTCAGACCTTGAGTTGCTGCTTTTAGTCTTACCGTTCACCAATCGACCTGCCTGGCATGGTAGAACCTACAGGAACATATGTTCCAGCCAATATAGCTCGGTTGGGTCATCACGATAGGCAAGCCCGACCACCGCGTCAAGGTAGCAGCTTCGGTCGGGTCATACTTTAGTACCGAGTTCACTTCTTTACTTTTTAACACGGAAACAGTTCTTTAGAGTTCAAGACATAATTTTCGTCCTACTAGTACAAGTTATTTTGCATTTCATTATTTTTTCTGTCAAATCTTTTGGCGTCAACCTGAGCGCTCTCTTCAGTGAAGCTTCATAAGTGAGTTTTCGTGGAAAGAAATCCCATTCCGTTGGATGCCTATCACATTTCTGGTTAATGTTCGTAATACATCAGTAATCCTTCAATCCATAAATTTTTCACATTCTTTTTTGAAACACGAAGTGTGCCCAAAATCTGTTATTAATTTATCAATAACTTATGTAAAAAGATTGATACTTTTATACTTTTCGAAGATGGGTTGAGATTTGAAGTTAATTAGTATAGCAATATTTGATCACGACATCGACAATTGTCTCCTGTACTTTGGCCTTAGTTGGTGGACCAACATTTTAGTTGTGATTGCACTAGTCTATTGAATGTTAAAGTTTCAGCAGTTCACAAATATTTACATACATCCATTCAAATATTTTGATAACTCTTATCTAACGTATTTTTCTGTTGTTTCTTTTTCGTTTTGTTATTTAAATGACAACAACTTTATTCCTTTGAATCTTTTGGTATACCATTTTGGGGAGCTATCAACATTCGAATTAACTTTTTTATTGCAAGTAACCTAGTATTACACAGAAACCAATCAGTTGATATTTCCTTTGCATCAGTGCACATATATATGTAGTGTTTATCAGATTTTTTCTAGTAGATTGGTCTTTCCAATGAACAACATAAAATTTTAGTCTGTTCCACTTACTCGTATACACGTATACCTGTATAAAAATATACTTATATCCTTACGCACCATTTTCATCCTAAGTCATTGGCAGTGTTTTTTTCAAACAAAAACTAAATAATCGATCGTCTTTGTTCTATTGATTACATTAGAATTGTCCAGTTTCTGTTTATGAGGTTAAATTTTAATTAGTGAACAATACACCATATAAGTGACCGGAATTCTATGTGAAAACATAAATACCAATTCCGTTTCTTCACTAGATTTCTTCATAGCCTCATCTGATATCACGTAATTTATCTTGTAATGTTTATATCCCTTTATAACCATATTAGACATCCGATATCTAGATTTAGTTGAATTTGTTGTGTTTTTAAGTCGTAACTATGGATAAGTGGAAAACCCAATACCCTATCACTATATATATATATATATATATATATATATATATATATATATATATATATATATATATATATATATATATATATATATACAATCAGAAATACAATCTGCAACTTAAAAATGATAAGATCCTCCCTAACCGGTATACCGTAACCGAACAAAGGCATATTAATTTTACTTATAAAGGTTTGTGTTTTCCCACTGTTGATGTTAAGGATAGCAATCGATCAGTCACTATTACTATATGTTCATCCTGAGCTGATTGTTTCAATGTAGCCATGTAGAAACAAGTTTTGTTTTATAGTCTTTAGCCAATATTCAATCTTAACAAAAAAGAAAGTTACTGTTAGTCTAAAACAGCGAACATAAGAAATACGTATTATGTCGATCTCACTACACTGACCTCACAACTTTATAAATAATAACATGAGTTTAGAATCTGATGTATTTTTATGTCAATCGGCCCACCTACTATGTACATTCTTTATGACACTAATAATTTTAATAGATAAAAATATGTTCATTGTCTAGTACTCTTTATCTACTGCGCTTCAATAGACGTAACACAAATCAGAATCAGATTTCACAGGAATCAATATTGATTTATCTACTAGCATTGATTGATTACAATGTACCAGTCCGGATATATTCAGTTTCGATCGTGCATTGAGTATGCAATCTTGATCTTAGTAAATTTTCAATACTTCTGTACTTTGGCCTATCCATTTGTAGTCAGCTGTTATTGTTCTGTTTTGGGGAATGTTATCAGTCACTGTTCAGCATACATAAGAGAAGATAGGCGAGTACTTTCATAATAATAATAATAATGCTAGCAACGTAGATAAATTTACGTAACATTATTTAGTATTCCGTGCGATAATAGTGGTAGTTAATAAGACTGAATTTATTTAGAACATATTGAATAGTTTTTTTCGTATGTTCAGTTGTTGTTGTTTCTTTCCAGTTCAGCTGTTATCTATTTCTTACTCATTTGCATATTCAGTATTAATTGAATAACATTCAACTCACAAAAATATGAATGTTTTGAAAATAGCGAAACAAACGGTTATTGACAAATTACATTCAGTATGATTCTGGTAACTTTTTGTCTTCTGTTTCAAGCATTTAAACAACTATTCTGTGATGCATACTCACCTAGAAAAGTTATCATAAAATTATTAGTAAAAATAGATGGAAAGATAGATCATGTAAAATCTTAAAAACAATCCAGGCAATCCTAATGCTTATTTTTCAACTTACAAACAAATCATATTGTTAAGTCTTTATTGCTGATGAACTTTTACCAGTCAAATTCGAAATGTGATCGCATTAGCACGAAACGTAAATCCAATGTTTTGTACCGATCTCCCGTAACCACTTAACATTAAGTAAAGGGATTCAGAATGCTCGGTCACTCAGTTTACTTATGAATATACTAATAGAATATGCCCACTTCGGAATAAAAACAGATAATGTCATATAGATTAATACTCGATACTAAAATATGGTTAATTTCGTCCACAGTAGTTTATTTTTGCTTTTTTCTCCAAAGATATAGTTTTCTCTGGATTCCATCCACACTTACTGATGAGCAGTACTAACGGGTACAAAAGTTCATTCCGTGAAATCATTACAAACTACTATTATTAGTCATTATAACATTCAATCTGTCGCAGTACCTTATTGAACTATATAGGTTACACATCAGAACTTAACTACAAGACTAAATTAGTATATCATGTAAATACATACAAAGAAATTGGCAAATAACTCTGAAAAATAAATTATATAATCTGTAAAGTAATCTTATTTTTTTGACTCAAATTAAAGACTACCGGTATAGTGTTGTGGCAATTGTCGATTTTTACTTGAAATCATCAACGATCAATGTAAGACCACAATTAAAAATCTGAAAGCACTGGACGGCCATTTCGTCTTAGTTTGGGACTCCTTAGGACTGCTCGTCCACGATTCCGCGTGCGAACGCTTAAACTCGGGATCACTGGTTCGGCATCCAACGTCGCTAATGTTTAACTTCAGCCAATCCACCATGTGTCGTGACCATCTTCTATTGTCTTCGGTGTGTAACTGCCTCACACCCAAGACATTGGGACTCCACTGGCCACGGCTTTTCACTAGAACTGAGAATTACTTCTCGAAGCTAGTCATTAGTAAGCACATGATAATGATCACTGTACGCATCGGGGATCGTGGATGCGCACTGTTGAGGAGTCCCATACTAGAACGAAAAGGTTGTCCAGTGCTTCCAGATTTTTAATGGTGATCTCACATTGATCGGTTCATGATCTCAACGTAAAATTATCAGCAAATAACTAATTATGTTATTAAAAGTAAAAGATTCATTCACACAGCAAATCGTCTCGTTTTCATTGTCTTCTTTTTGTTTTTTTTCTTCCATTTTAGTTACTACAACAAAATCTTCAACCATCATCATTTATGATCCAAAAAAGTGTAGGTTTTCACTGTTTGATGCACTGATTGTAAATTAATGATTCATTTGTTTGTTTTTCAGAAAAAAATATTTGTACGAATAGATAGAAATTTTCACATGGTTTCCTAGATTTTATTGTATGCTATTCTCTTGGTAATTATTATGCGATTTATATTCAAATATCTGTTTATATGAATGAATTTTAAAAGATTATGGAAACCTGAGCTATCTAAATCATTTTATTCCTTTAACATTAGATCGTATTGTATTACATATTGTCGCTTCACCATACTTTTAAGTACCTCTTGATAAACATGGTAATCTGAAAACAAAACTAAGATCATTGATTATTAACTAATTGGAGTATATTAACATTCTAATTTTATAACCGCTTAAGATAATTTACTGCACAACTATTAGTGTCTATTCTTTTGTAGCAAAAATTGTATCTGGATATTTTAAAACCTGTGCTAAACTACAGAAAATCTAGTGTTTATATAACAATTTTTTATCAGTTATATTTTTTTCATTTAAGGTGATCATTTTTATGCTATTATTGTTGTTATATACAATTATTCGTTTAATAACAAAAGTCAACAAAACATAGTGTTGCATACGAGTCAAGTTACTATTCTTCCTAGTAACATTGGAAAAGGAAATTGCAGGAAGTAACTCAGTAAAGTAAATCGAAAAAAGCAAACGAATGAATAGGAAAAGATTTGTTATCGAGAATGAAATATTTTAAATCTAGTGTCTGACATACCTGGTGTTCATCACGTTGCCTAAGGTTTCTAACCATTTAATTTCAGCATATTTTCTGTCGATGTGTACTAGGAAGTTTATACTTCTATAAGTATAGTTTTGAGATTTAGTTGTGTTTTGATCTATTAATTCGTTAAAAGTCGCCAACCTACTTAAAATATTTTCTTAAGCAACTATTTTATTTGTGTGGTACGCCATACTCAACATCGACATATACACTCCTCTTTCATTGCTAAATATCTTACTTAAGAGACGGGTAGTTTATCATCAGCGACTTAAACTGTTTACATGTATCCACACAAAACATCTTTGCGTTTTGAATTTTAAATACTGAGATTGCAAGTCTTTCTTATTTTTCTTGTCGTCAATTCACCAGTGATGCTTACTCGTGCATGTCATGTTGTGTTTTTTATCTATCAAACGTAGTTCACCCAACAAACAATCAAACACTCGATTAATTCTGACAGAATAAAAACTCGAAGTTCATAAGTTCTTTACGGAGTGACTTTAGCCCGAGAAACATTGTTTTCAATCATTCAGCTGATGGCGTTCCGTTTTAATACGAAAAACTAATATCAAATAATCTGTTTACTTGATAACTATTACTTTTAAATGTTTGCATAGGATTTTAAATAAGTCGCCAATTATCTATATCTCCACGTGTTCCCATTTGAGTTCGCTAGCACTATATATATTAGGCGGTGTTGTACCAAATTGAGGTCAAACTTATCTAAGAGAATTAACAATATTTTGGATTTATTAAAATATGACTGCTTAAGAGTAAAACATTAACTTTATTAATCCAGTAGAAACATGTATTACAACTACTTAATGTGAACTTAAATCTGGTGTTTTCTTTCCAAAATAAGAGAGGTGGCTCAGATGTTAAGGCGTTTTTCATAATTTGAAGACAAGTAGTTTCAATGATGGTCTTTATTAATTGAATTGCATCACCGTAGCATCAATTACTTTCTATTTCATCCAAAGATTTCCTTAGTTTTTACTTGCTTATACTACTGAACTTACTATGATTACTATATAAACAAAAAACAATAATGATAATCCTAGCCAACATTACTAACAATTCATTTTTATTAATTATCTTGGATTTTATTTTATTTTGTGCCGTCCATTATACCACAGCTGTTATTTTTATTGGTAATGTTTTCTTGTATTCCAGTTATTGTATACTAACCCAACTCCATATGATATAATATTCATTATATATATCCTACACTATTGAGTGTGGACGACATAAATTTACTACAAAAGTATAATATTATTTACTTAAACAGTCGTTTGTATAATATACTCGGAAATTATTCTTGTGTCATATCATTCTTTATAAATAATAAACTATTGTGTGAAACGAAATACCATCCAACAGCTGTTATATTCACTGTATAAATCTTAAATATGAATGTTATAAATCAAGAATGTTTAGTTGTTGTCTCTCCTGAGTTTTGTATCATTTAAAATGATGATTGAATTAAATTCAACTTATATTGTAAATGAATAATTCAACCATATCTACTTGCGTCTGTCGCCCCTCGTGAAGGGGCCTAGGTAGCCCATCAGGATTCTCCATCGAACTCTGTCTTGGGCAATCCTTTCCAGTTGCTATTCATTCTTTTGATGTCTGCTTGCGATTCCCAACGCATTGTGTTCCTTGGTATCCCTCTTTTCTCTCCAAGATTCCAAGTTGGCACTTACTTCGTGAATTCAACCACGCACTACTTGAATTCGACTTGATTTTACAAGAACTTCTGTTTCTCATGATATATTAAGATATTCATCGAATACTAATAAAATTGATTCATTTTAAATGTGAATAAGACTTTCGGTAAGAATTAAAACTCGTATAATGTTAAATTTGGGAATTAAGAAAGTGAGATGCTTTGCAAGATTAGGTTATTATTAACAAACATCGTCCCGACAGGGCTTGCCTATCGTGATGAAGCAACCGAGCTGTATTGGCTGGAACAATCGTTCCTCAAGGTCCTACCATGTCAGACAGGTCGGCTGAAGAGCAGCAAGACTAAAAGCAACAAACCCAAGGTCCGAAGGCTAAGTCGTACTGCTTACTGTACAGAGGTGTGACAGCAGTAAGGTGTTTCCTTCAGACAACCAGCATGACAGCGATGCTGCCATCTCACAAGGAGGGGTGGGGTTTGAAAAGGTCGACCCTAAAAATGCACACCTCGCCTTATCCTATAGATATCCGTCTCCGGCGGTAAGGCCTCAGTAAGTGCGGAGCTAACACAAAAATTACCCATAAAAAGGTAGTGTGTGACCGACCTCAGGCAGTTGTCCCTCGGGCACTGCGGTCACGCTCTCGGGTCACTAAGACCATCTCTAATTCAATTTCCTTTTCAGGTACCTCTTGAAGAACCATTCCACGGTGTGTGCAACCGGGAAGTGATAACCGCCCTCATACCTCTAACAGCACTCAAGAACAATGAACAAACATTGTAATTAAACTAGATAATAGATGATTTCATCCATTACATTTTAGGTTGAAAAGTACATAATCAACACTGGCCCAAAGTTAGTTATTACATTTAAAACGTTTCATTATCAGAAGCCGTGACCAGTAGAGTTCAACTCGGTCGGTTGTGAATTAGTAACTCACTGAAGGCAATGGTGGACGGTGGCGCAATTTCGTGGGTTGGTTGAAATTAGACATTAACACCATTGGATGCCGGCTCAGTGGTCTAAAGGTTAAACGTTCGCGCGCGAGACCGATAGTTCCTGAATCCGAATCTCGCGAGGCGGAATCATGGATGCGCACTGCTGAGGAGTCCCACAATAGGACGAAACGATTGTTCAGTGCTTCAAGGTTTTCCATAGTGGTTTAGCTTCAATTGACTCATGAATTCAACTATTAAATTAATATAATATTCACAATACCCCTTTCTGATTATAAACAAGTAACCATTGAATGATATAGGTAAACGGGAATTTCCTGTGTAACTTTATTCAAGTCATAAATCATGTTTCCTTCATTATTCATTTTATTGTTTACACAGTTAGGAAAACGAGCAAATGAAGACTTCAATCAGACATTAGTAAGTTGAAAATTTCCTAGTTTTAAACACATACATGCAAACAAATAAATTATTATTATTAGACTTATTACATAATCCTTCCTAAATGTATACGAATGTGAAATTTCGAATTTTCTGGGCACATAGTTACTAAAAACACATTCTTTAGCATATGCACACGAATAACATACAAATCGGGAGCAACATAAAAATGCTTTATATACGTTTCAATATCTTGATGTGCATATTTTCCTCTTGCGTTGTGAAATATTGTATCATACTACTTGAAACCATGTATGTGTCACATATAAGATTTGCTTTGTCCATTACTTGTTCACGAATCAATCATTTGTATTTTTATATAATAAAAATTAAGTATGTGTACATTTTGTATTGTGTACTTGAAACCATGACAGACATTTTATTTGTGCTATTTAAATTATTTATACGTCCAGTGAAGAACTTTTTCATTGGGACTTATTCTAATTTTGTGTTTCTATTCCGGGAGAATAATAATTTTTTCATTATGAAATTAAACTAGACATTTTGAAATCAGTTTCAAGTTAAGAGGCTCCTAACTTTGATTTTTTAGAAGCTTGAAAACAGATTTCTTATTGTCAAGAAAATGAATATCATTCACTTACGTCTTACCTTACGCTACAGTTATTTGTTAGTTACACTTCTACCAATAATAGTAGTAGTTTCTGTAGATGTACTGAACAGTAATAATTAATAATAATATAATCTTACCCATTTAAAAGTTTGTACACTAGGTTTTTTAGCGACACTCTGGATATATTCCAGTGTAAATTGACTAATTATACAAATGAACAATAAATATGTTCTTTTGTTATCTGTTTGTCTATGTTATTGAAGAACGTACTAAATATCCATATAGTGCTTCCACTTGTACGTATATTTCTTACTCCACTTCTTAACCCTCATCATTATCTATGATTTTTAAGTATTCTGGATGTTTGTGTTCAAAGATTTAAGTATTTGATTAATAATTGTATCATATTCTATGTCTAGAGAATAAATTATTCAGACATGCATAACTATGCTTAGACAGTTGAATACTTCAGAAGCTGTCCATATGGTAAAACGATATCTGTGTTTTCAATACTGTGTCGAACATTTGAATCCTGCTACACTTACATCAGTTTGAGCAACCGCATAGTGCCACTAGCCTTCATCCATAAAGTTTAGTTTAAAATTTTACTCGGCGGTTGCGTTATTTTAATATTTGTCATCTACTTATATTTTCCTAATATTTCACAAGAAATGTGTATATGTATGCCATTTAATTATTTATTTATTTTTCTACTCTAGGATATGGGAGTACTTCGACGTTCAAATAATAATAATATAAATACTGACTACCAAGAAGAACGCTTGTCAACATCCTTAAACCAAAGGAAATGTACAAATTCATTCATTACTACTGAAATACCAGATTATTCATTCAATAATATGATTGTACAACATGATAATAATATTAACAATAATAGATTAAGCCATCATCCCATGCCTATGTCAACAAACAGTAATCATGACCATTCAGTTGCAATAAATGAAAGTATGAATAGTATTCACTCACCTTTATCACTATTATCTAGAACATCAGTAGTAACTGACATCCCTAACATATCGAATACAAATCATGATAATCAACGTGTTCGTGATTGGTTACGAGATGCTGTTGCTACTACAACTAATGAAATGAAATCTACTGTTATTAATAATAATACTGTTATTGCTACAACAACAGCTAATAATAATACTAATGAATTCACCATTGACAATAGTAACACTAAGAAACCTGGTTGTTTATCTGATCGCCCTATCCGAAGACATAATATTCAATCATCACAACTTCAAGGATTAATAGAATTCCCTGCTCCATCTGAAGATCAATTTCCAAATTTACAATTTAGATCAGTTTCTCATTCAGTTAATCCAAATCATAGTAATTCCGTCAACTTGATTCCTGGTAATACATATCAAACTTCATCATGCAATACCTCTAATTATCCAATACAATATGATCAAAATGTACCTTGTAAATTTACTGACAATATTATAACTACTGTATCGTCTGAATCTGCTACCAGTATTCAGAAAGAGTCTGGTGTAAATAATTCTGATGAATCTATTACTGATATACAACAAAACACCAACCTTAGTAGTGACAAGTCATTTCAATTTTTCAACTCTAGTATGTGTGACGTTGTTAAACAATCCTCTATGCCTCCCACAATCTCATATGGTATATCACAGCCGGTACCTCGCCAGCGTGCATTTCCTCGTACTAATCCGACTGTATCACGTCCCTCCGGTAATGGGACTTGCACCCTACCTCGACCTTGTACTATCCCATCGGAAGGGTCACCGATCTCTCTGTTTCCTACTTCTGTCGCTTTTAGTCAGTTTAGTGATACCACCTCTGCAAGAGCTTCAATGACCGACTCAAAAATTCCTATTATTCATGAATCAATCTCAAAAGACTCCTCTTCCTTCATTAAACAAAAATTGATTGAGCATATATCAAATGATCTGATACCCCAAGATATTTCCAATTCGGATAACACACCTAAATGTATGGTAACTTCTCCATCTCAAGTTTTAAATGCTCCTCTTAAGGTTTCTTGTTCAGTCAATGCAATCACACCTTCATACTGTTCAAATAAATATAATATTAAAGTATCTTCTGGGAATTATCTTCCTGTTGATAGTCCTCTATCCGCATCCCCTCATCCTTCTTCTTCACCATTATCTCCCACCTCATTTTCAAGTGCATCGTCAGCTACTGCTTTGACAACTGCTAATTCTGATGAAAGTATAGATATGCCAAATAGTATGATGTTTGATTCGGAAAATTGGAATGTGTTCTCATCAGATATGAAAAATGATTCTAATATAGTTAAGATTAATAAGACTACTACTTCTCCTTGCCTTCTCAATACCACAACTGATTACAGTTATCACTTTCCTACTTTAGATGAAAGTTTAAATGAGGAAGAAGATTATTTGAGACCTCCTACACCTCCTCCACGTTCAGCATCGACATTATGTTCCCCAGGAATCCCTGGTGCTTTTTTCGTCAGTTTCCCGAATCATATATCTTTGAATGCAATAACATCATCATTCGACCAAGCTGCAGGATACTTACAAATTAGTTGTCCCTATTCTTCACAACCTTGTCCTAGTCCTTCGTCTACACCTATTACAAATTTGTCAGTATCTTCTTCCTTGTCGCGAAATCATCCTTCACGTGCACATGTTATCCAACCGAATTCCCGCCGGGCTCATCGCACTCAGTATTACACTCAACAAATACATACTGACTTACATTGTAAGTTCTCGATATTTAAAGTGGACGATGATAAGTGATCTGTTGCTAGGTTACCTGGGTTAATTAATCATGGTACAAAAAATAGCTGTACTTACGATATTTTTTGTTTTCTGGACAGTTCTGCTACTTTTAATAATTCCTTTCGACCTAATTAATTGGTACACAAATGATAAGCCTTCGTTGAATTATGGCGATTGGGCTATAAGCTGTAACTTACAAGCCACTTTTTATTTCAGTATATTATATTACTTTAAGAAAAATATAGCGAAGTAAATTTCTCAGGTTTTATAATGCCAACACTTGGTTAGATAATACGAAAATACTGTTTACACTGATTAACATCGTTATATAATGAATATTTCAACGTTTAGTATTTGTGATACCTTATTATCCTGTAAAGTGATTTATTTAAGCAGTCATCCAATCGATAAGGTTCAGCAAGATTCATATAATATAATAATATAATAAGCTTGAAACGAATAGCTAACAGTATGCGTCATAAATTTAATTCTTTCGTTACTTGCTAACTTCACACTACTTGTAAATAGCTAGAAATAAAAAGAGATGAAGTACTTAGTAAGTTGTATTTTCTTATGAAGCATTAATAGCCTTTTATCAGTATAGTTCAATATGTTCTTCAGATAAGTTGGTCTGTACACTACTACTCTTTTCAAATAATAATACTACATTGCAAAAGGATGATATATCTATCTTTCTGATTATAAATACCTATCCATAAAATCATCATGCTACGCTCTACACATGTGTACCGTTATGATAAATTAATAAAAATCGACTCGAGTTTTTTTTAAAATGATTTTCGCGTACCTTTACGTGATTTTATATTAATTCACTGTCAATCATTTAAAATGTGAAATTTTAAGAATTATTTGTTCTCTGCACTTGTGATAGCATTACACAATCATATGTATCAACAGTGAATATAACAATAATCACTGTTATCATTGTCATGTATTGTTGTTCACATGTAATTCCGTTCTTAAAAAATGTTTACATTGTTTATTGTGTGTATGATAACAGAATTTTCTCTAAAAAGATGTAGGGAAAATCGCGTGCATAAATTCTGATTTGAATTTATCCACTCTCTTGACTTTCAACTTATGTCGATATATAGAATGGCCCAATTATACTGTGCATTATGAATAGTTTGTAGTGATTTTATCAAATTTTATTCAAGTTTAACTGTATCATATTTTTTTGCGGCCCACTTATTATCAATTTCACTATTGATCGAAACATTCAACATTACGCAAATCACTTACATAGTGGTGCCTACAATATCTCGTCTTTTTTCTGAATTGTATGTATTAATGTAATGATATTCAGCTATATTTTAAATTTATTCAAGTGGTACTCTACTGATTTTTAAAAGTTCATATGGTACACTTCCAAATCTCTTAAGTCTATTATTCAGAATCACTTTTGAAGTATTTATATCCTCTAGTAAAAATTCTTATTGTCATAACATTAGAATATTGTATGTTCAATACATTACTCGAACGTTTATTTATTCTACTGTACACAGGTCAACAAACTCCTTTTGAAATTTGTTTAAAGTTTAAAAAGACCGTAGCTGCTACCTTGACGCGGTGGTCGGGCTTGCCTATCGTGATGACCCAACCGAGTTATATTGGCTGGAACATATGTTCCTGTAGGTTCTACCATGCCAGGCAGGTCGATTGGAGAATGGTAAGACTAAAAGCAGCAACTCAAGGTCTGAGGGCGAAGTCGTACTGCTGACTGTAGAGGGGTGTGACAGCAGTAAGGTGTTTCCCTTGGACAACCAGCATCTGCAGCGGTGCTGCCATCTCACAAGGAGGGGTGGGGTTAGAAAAGGTCGACCCTAAAAATGTCACACCTCACCTTACCTCACGGATTTCCGTCTCCGGCGGTAAGGCCCTTTGATGAACGGAGCTAACACATTAAAAACCTCCCACAAGAAGGCCGTGCGCGACCGGCCTCAAGCAGTTGTCCCTTGGGCTCTGCGGTCACGCTCCCAGGTCGCTAAGACCAACACTAATCCGACTTCTTTTTCAGGTTCCTCAAGAAATACCCTTCCACGGTGTGGGCAGCCGGGAAGTGATATCAGCCCTCATACCCGTAACAGCACACGAGACGAAGTTGGTCACATTCAAATCCTTCCTACACCTCCTAATAACTCTCTTATCTCCACGAATAACCCTCCTCACGTCTGTTTATCACCTCGTACCGCTAGGGCAAACGATTCGGGTACGCGGAACGCTATTCCTGGTCTCCTGAAACCACGTTCTAAACTACACGTAGGAGCTCTTAACGTCCGAATACTCTGCTAAATAGGACAATAGGCTTCCTTAGTTAGGACTTCAGAATCTCGCGCCATCGATATGTGCTGCGTCTCCGAAACGCGCATACAGGATCCGAGTAGCGTCATTCATTTGACCTCACCATGCCAAAATAAAGAACCGACTCGATTCACACTTCGTGTATCTGGAAGCCCAGATTCTGCTTCTCGTGGCTCGCCTGCGTAGGTATAGCATTGAGTCCTAGGGCAGAACTAGCTCTCTTAGAGTGGATCCCAGTAGACAGTCGTTTGTGCGCTGTCCGACTGAACGGAACAGTAAGAATCCATAAAGATAGGGACACTCGTCGTTGCCTCTTCGTCGTCTCTACCTATTCTCCCACTGACTGCAGCTCAGATGATGTAAAAGATGAGTTTTACAGAAAGCTTTCCGACCTCCTCCTAAAAGCTAGGCGCTCTGATGTAGTAATAATAGTCGGTGACTTTAATGCTCAAGTAGGTAAACTAAGCGATAGGGAAAGACACCTAGGTGGATCTTATGGTGTCGTGGCTCAAAGAACAGATAATGGGGACCGTCTGTTGCAGCTATGCCCAGATAACCGCCTCTTTCTTGCAAATACTAACTTCAAGCATAAGGAAAAACATCTTTTAACATGGTGACCCCCTGATTCATCCCAATGTTGCACCCAAAAAGATCACATCGCTATAAGCTACCGATGGAGGGGCTCGATAGAAGACTGTCGCTCTTTTCTGAGCACATGCTTAGATTCAGATCATGCTCTAGTGCGAGCGCGTATTTGCTTGCGTCTTACTGGACGTAAAAAAGACGCTGCGGGGAAACCTCTTAGGGGCCTACTTAATGATAGTCAAACTAAGAGTATATTTCAGGAACAACTAGAAAAACAGTTAGGCACACATGTATGTGATGCCCACCCCGATGCAGCATGGAATGATATCCGAAAAGCTGTGGAAACAGCAGTGATATCTGCTAGTACGGTAAACCATAAGGTTAGGGAGCAACCATGGATCTCAATGATATAGGAGTAGGTTGGAAGAAAGCTAGGGGTGGCCAGACTAAAACATGGCACAAGTCCATAAAGTCACTGACAAATGGGCTGAGCCATGTTGGTAGGTGTAGACGATCTGGTTGGGGACCGCCAGATGATAACAACCGATGGTTAAAGACCCTGGATGACATGGCTCAAAATCGTTTGCAATGGCGCAGGTGCATACACTCTTTGTGTTCTCCTAAATTCTAATCTTCTGAACTCTTCATATCCCTTTCTTTTTTCTCTTTCCGAATTTATTTCACTGTATTATATTCTTTAAATAACATCTCCAAACCCTAATCTTCCCGATTACTGCTTATACTCTTGCTACCTCTACCACTACGGGATTTGAATCGACAAGTGCATCTCTGTGCTAATGTGGTGTGGTAAATCGAACTGATGTACGTACGTACGAAGTCCTACCTTGTTACTGACTGGCTAACTTAAAGCTTTAACGACCGCCTCACATGAATTTCTTATTAAATTTGATCTCCCAAAGTTGTTAATAAAACTTGAGGAAAACTCTTATAGAGTTTGTAAAGCCATGCATTTTAGTGGGAACAAGTCACTAAATGAAACTTCTCTTTTCAAATGAATCAAGCATTTCAGTAACAGTAGTGAAAACAACAAACTTCGTATTTAAACTATTTTACTCAGACAATCTCGCATCTTTTAAGCTGTGTTAATGTCTACTTTTCTCAAGATTTTTATTTTCCTATCTAGAGATCTGAATCCATCTTTTTTAAGCTGAAATGTAGACTTAAAAAGATTTATAATTTAATTTATTGTATATTTACTTTTCATAACCTTTCTTGTATCCAATGTTTCCTACTAATTTTTAATGTTTATTGTCATAATTATATACACAGCTCTTCCAAACAGTAAAGAAATGCAATTCAGTGAAAACAATGTTGTCGATCCTATATGTTTTATCCCATCAACAGATTCGTTTAACTCCCAACAGTCCAGATTCGTTATGACAAGTCAACCAAATATACAACTTAAAAGTACAGTTTTACCCAACGCTGTAGTTTGTAGTACAAGTGGTGGTGCTAGTGTGTGGGGTACTAAGAATATCGCCATATGGGATGGTAGTAACTGTTTTAACTCTAATACTAGTGAGTCAATTCAAATAGTTGATTCCAATGTGAGTAAAACCGCAGTGACGGCTACGGTTGTATCAACAACTACGAAAGGATATTCAACAGCTAATCTGATAAATAATTTTCCACGTTCTGCTTCTGGTGGTTTTATTGGCCCTGCTGAAAGCACAGATTCATCGTCGGTGTGGACTTGTGGTTCTTATAACAACAACAATAGTAATAATCGTTCACGTCCTACACCACTTCGTAAAAGTGCACAACAAATTTATGTTCATCCAGGTCATCCAGCATTTTCTTCATTCATCGGACCATTTGACTGGCCGAGTCATTTATTTAAAGCTGACCAGGATATATTTACATTAATGAGTTGGACGAAGGTAATCTGACCTATTTATTTGTAGTTTCCAGTTTAGTGTTAGGTTTCTTTGCCATCGTACTATACATAGTTATCAAAAACTGCATTATGTCTGATTTCATAGAATAAGACAGTAAACGTCTAATGTAATATGGCGTTTATATTTTCTAGCGGTATGACGTTCATTATATCAACTGTCTGCACACACTTGACAGTTCACTATGAGGGCTAGTGATACTACTCGTTCGCGGTAGTCAAAGTAAGTGGAGCGAGCCTCGAACCTGGACCTCGGTGGCTGAAAGTCAAACGCCTCAACCATCAAGCCACCGCTTCTTTAAATAAGTAGACTTATTTACGAAAAAAGTAACTCAACTAACATTTCTAAAAGTGTAACGAACAGTACTCATTCCCACATTTTACTATATTCTTGACTAATTTCTCTCCCTTCCTCTCTGTATATTCCTGTCCATCATTACCAAAAGCAATTAAAAAAGTGTCCTGCAGCGAAATATTACATCTAAACCAGTGTAAACATATTTACATGTATCTGTATTCACGAAATGGTTCTACCGTAGTTAATTAGTCGCATCGGCATTCAAGATTATTTGGATATAGCCCACTTTACTATTACTACTATTTCATTCATTATAAGGACCCGAATACATAAAAGAACGGGTCTTACTATAGCATTGAATAATTTTCTTTTATTTGTATACTAAGACTTTAATGGGTAGTCCCATGTTTCCTTGAACTGTGTAATGTTAATAGCAATTAGATTAATCCAATCAATTATTTGAAACAGTTATATTCTTTAGTTACTAAAATCATCTCATTTAACACCTTTGGATGTCGAGTCAGTTATGTCCAAACTAGACATTAGGATGGAAGAATAGAGTAAAAGAGGTTACGTTTAAATTACAATAGCTGTGGAACAGAAATTGGTATGGCAGTGAATCATGCATCAAACGAAAGTGTATGGCTTATAGAATAAACTAGGGGTAAAACTAAATGTCAGTATTTTATAGACCTCGAATTAAGTGAAATAATGTTCTTAAAAATAGCTTCCGTTGTTCGTTGTGGCTTCTTTGTTTCTCTGTTCATATCACCGGATTATGAAAACACCAAGAAGATAAGCTTTTTTTCCATTTATAGTTTTGTAGTTTTTCAGGATTTTCCAAATTAAGTACGTATTTAAAATGGCATTCATAATTTCATATGAGTTCTTTACTTAATAATGAGAATATTCATTTTATTGATTATAATATATTTAGTATAATATTCATTTCTCAATTTACAGTACTAGCTGAATTCATTTATGAACTATACCGTACTATTGATTTTTGTTCATTTTAGTCTAATTTTTCAAAACGTATATTGGTATCTTCGGAACCTGCACTGAAGAAACAAGTTGCTCAGTTGTTTAAAGGTAACCCTTTTTTTATATTCATGTATGGTGGCGTTGTAACAGCAGTTGTTTGTACGTGTACAGTTAATATAGTTAAAACAATTACATAACACTAAGTTATCCCTTCGATTTTTTTACACTAAAAGCCATATTAGTAAGTAAATAGATTTATAAATACAACAAATAATGCTTGTTACAAAATGATAATCGCATAATCTTATTAACAATAAGGCTTATTATTTAGGGTAATGCAATAAATTGGCCAAGTAATCTTTTCCACTCATTTTACTACTTTGTACTGTAATTATTAGTAACATTTCTGAAGAAATTTTCATCTATCACATGAACAGTTCAAAGTTATACTTTAAGATTTTATCTTATTTTTTTGTAAACTGATTCTATTCTAACACTTTCTATGTACTATCCCACAAGAAAATATCAGTGTAAGTGTTAAACTACTTACATTTTCTTTTTAATTATTTATTTGAAGTGTATTTAGTACTTAACAAGTACCCGTTTCCTATGAATTATTCTTCATTCAGGCCTTTTGTTCAAGTTCCTTTATATATAGGCACATCCCATAGTTGAGTTTCCTGTGTAAATTATCAAGTTTATACACATATCAATCAAACGAAACTGATGGTAATGTTTCTTAATTTTCGGAAGTAGTATCTCTTCGATTCTTCACTATTTCGTCTTTGTGAATCGTCAGTAACTTTATCTAGGCTTCTGTTTTGGTCTCTTTACATTTTTTACGTAAAAAACGTTATAACAGTATGTGAATACGCGTAAAGTTTTAAAATTTGTTCATATTCGTGTTTACTAATTTATTTTAGTAACCTCATGCAAATTCATGCAATGGGTTATCGTTTTATACTTAGTATACTAACTTCATTCACACTGAATCATTTTCGGATCTTGCTATTGCTTGGTGGGCAGTTGTCAATTTCCAGTTCCTCACATCATGGAAGGATATCTTTTGAGGCACCTACTAAGGAAATTGGATCAACAGTGGTTTTGGTAACGTGTGTGTGACTCCAGAGCCCAAAGGTTAACTGTATGGGACTGGTCACTCACGAACTTTCAGCGAACCGTGCTCGATGTGTTCACTTTGTGTTTGAGAGGTCTGATTGCTGTTGACAAAATCCTGTGACACAAGTCAACTAAATTGTAATAGACTGGGCAATTAAACCGCAGTCTTCACTTTAAGTTTCTAATTCATATCATCATTCGAAACATTACAATATATGGTTACTAGTAAAACACTCAATTCATGGTAAATTTCTCATCCCCATAAAGCGGCGTATTTAATAAATATAATTGTTTCATCATCATTCAAGTGTATTTATTATTTATTATTACTATTATTATTTGAACACATAGATATCGGTACAAGGAGGCACCAAATACATATGTGCCACACAAATCTCATTTGATATGTGTGAGGGCTGTGATACTAGCCGGGTGCCCAAACCGAAGTAGGTAGTTTTCTAAGGGGGCCAAGCCCGGAGCCTTCGCCTTAAAGGTTTGATCCACAAGTCAGTGGAGCATTGTAAGGAGATGCAGTCCCATGGTAGCCGGTGATCAACGATTGGTTCATACGCCATTTGTTCACTCAGGATACTGGAGCCCATGTGCACCATTGGTTTGGAATCAGGGTTTTCCAACTCCCCTAGGAGGACTCTCCATGTCCACCAACCCGGTTAAAGCCCCGGACATTCGCTTTTCGTCCTCTCAATTTCGTAAATAAAAGTAATGCTTCGAGTAGGCAGTGAGTAGGACTTCCCTGGCAGTGGTTGTATGGACGTCACCATGTGAGAGCACTTCGACAGGGAGAGCTGATTCTCCACACTCTCGGCCGTACCAGGGCATTTCATATGAACAGTTTGATAAAGCGTTTTTTCTACTTTTAAAAATCCACTTTAATTTGGAAAGTTGTTACTTTGACTATTATGCAATTTAATCGATGCATTAAATATCGCATTATGAAAAACAAACAATTATTCGTCTTTTTGTATACTCTTGTATATTGCTCATGGTTTTATGATATCTGCTCTCTTCTATTTTGGACGTTTATATGTCTTACTTAAAGTGTGCGATGATAATGTTATTGAGAAAGACTGTGATGAAAGCTTCACAGTTGAACTATTTCACTGAAAAGACAAAAACAGCTTTAAAATCTTCATCTTGAGCTACAATTAGTTTGCATTGTTTCATCGTGTTTATTCTTTGTTTATCTAATCAGTTTAATAACGTCACTACGTCTTTCATATTGCTCATTATTTGGTTGTTTTTTTAATGTTTAACTAGTGTAGTTTTTTTTACCAAAGTAAATAAAATATAGTCTTATATCACGTTCTAAACTTTGTTTTTCTTTTATGAACTTGAAATTATCATAATTCTACTTGTATTCATTAACTGTAGTATTTTTCATCAGACAATTGTACATCTGATGATGTGGTTTTAACTATTACGTCATGATCGGTTAATTTTTGATCAACAGTTTGTGTAATATTTCTTTCTTTGTTTTTTGTCTACTAATTCAAAATTTCCTCTATGCAAACGGAATTGAAACGATTAATTGTTAAAGATTATAAATCTTGAGTTTATTGATAAATAAGTTGGACATCAATATATCATGTATATGTGTTTTATCCATGCTGATTTCAATGATCAGGTTCAGAAAGCAATCTATCTACTGATTTCATCGTATTGTAACTTTCATAAATACTGGTCTAAGATGATACGGAAGTTGTGGCTACGAAAACTGTTATTGACTTTGAAGATTGTTCACACTGCAGAGTAATTTTGCCTTGACACACATTGACAACAAGACAACACCGAATAGTTAAGTCATCCTAGTGTGCGACTCTATCAATGCGCACCCGCTGCCTTCTTTAGGGATCAAACCGAAGAACTTATGACCTCGCGGCAAGTGTGTCACTTCTCGACCACTGAGTTGGAATATAATTACTTAATCCCACAAGGAAGTCGCTATAATAAGTAGTGTTTCTATGATGATTCTGTGCGAAATCTAACTTTCATCGCTAAAACGTTAGTTGACAATTATGTCTAGCATTAAATGTCACACGAAACGTAAGTAGTGATTAGAATAAAATATGAAACATTTGTTGTGTTTTAGATCGCCGATGTTTATTTCTATTACGATTTAAGTGATTGTCAAAAGTGTGTCATCATTTAGATATTAAGCTTAAATTTCAACGTTATGCTGATAATTGTCTTGAGACTAGTAAAATGAAAGAAAGATCTTACCGATTGTTTAGAAAAAAACCTGAATTGGATACCAGTAAATTAGCGATTCTAATTAATGTCTGCGATTTAAAGCACAATATTGTTTAACATAGGTTCGTTCGTATTAGGAACTGTATCTGCAAATTCTTCGGAATCCTGAAAGAATGTTAAAAACACCTGCCAATTAACAGTCAATAGAAACTTCCTAGGGAGTTATGGTAAAGCGGTGGATTGTGTGTCATATCCTGATTAAATAATTACCGATTTAGAAAATTTCGAGCAGCTTACATAACATCATAGTCAGTCACAAACCTATCAGTATCCTTTTTTTCTGTGCCTAAACAAACCTTGAAAGTAAAACTTCTCTTCATCCTTTTCGATTTTTGTCCTCTACTTGAAGTGTATGAAATTTCCTACATAATAAGAAGTAGTTATCAGTGTCAAGCGTTCAAGTAAGAGACATATCGCTTCTTGTATCAAATAACTGATACACATTTGCAAGGAGATTAATATTTTAGAAAAACGCTGGACAGTTTTCAAATCTGCATTATGGTTCTTAGAGATGTTGAACATTTGGCTTTCTTTGTGGATCTTGGATTAACTTTACCCAGATACATTTTTTTCATACGAAGAACAAAGGATTAGTATTCATCTGAATAAACTCTCTTACTTTTTTCATATTGAATATTACAATCTTTTGTTTAGTTGTCGGTGATTAATTATTATATTCGATGTTTGATTTTTGATTACAGGAGCATATAAAAATCTCATATACTTGTTAGAGTCTACAGCTCAGTAATCACAAAACGCCTTAACATGAAGTCTTTAACTATATACACTACAGGCTAATTTTGTCGACGAATTAAACTGCTGTATTGCGGAAGTACTACACTACAGTATTACGCTCACTGCTGCAAATGAGAAATTCAAACCATATCACCATTATTATTGCCTTCCTTTACTATGTGGTTCTCTATATAGAATCATTTGACTCAAGGATTCCAAATGTAGACTTGATATTGTACGGTGTTACTAGTAGAAAAGTGCATACTTGTAACGCTTCATAGGATTCATATTGTTTTATTGAGTTACCTAACGATAGTTTTATGTATGAAAAGTATTTTGAAAATATATACTTTGAGTGGAATCCATTATTCAGTTTTTCTTCTCAATTTTACTCAGCCCCAGTGTAGTTCTCCATCTTTATATTAATATTTTACCATTGTCAATGTTATGTTCCCTGAGCTAGATAGTTGAATCGCGGCGTGGTTATTTTCATTTTGGATAACATCTCCAACGCCTACTACATGTAAATATTGTTTAGAACGTCAATGAAAGTTGCGTAATCTAATCATATTTTGGCTCAGAGCATCCATATGAGCCGCATATTCTCCTCATCATTTTAAAAATATGTGTAGTGCTACATTTTTTTGGTAGGGGAGAAACTAAAAATGTGAATGTATTTCGCAACATTTTTATTCATAAAATCATGTCTCTACTCATAAATATCCATTAGATTTCTCATGAGAAATAATCAATTACTTTTCGATGCTGCGCTTTGATAACAATCAAAAGTACATAGTAAAACATATTATGTAATTTCGAAGTATTAGAAATCCCTATATATATGTATTATTCTTATATTGCGTGAAATTAAGCTTGTTGATTTAAAAGTATGCACTTCCAAACATAAATCATTTGTTGATGGACATAACAAGTCTAGTATTGTGAATAATTGATAAATCACTCAGACGAAACGGTAATTTATTCTATCATCAGTACACATAGTGTTTTTAAAATATGCCCAACAAATCATATTTTGGTTATAATAATGAAGTTTGTGTTTGTATGAAGTTTTTATAAAGTCAAATAATTCATGTATTATGATACAGAAAAGTTAGTTTTGAATTGACGTTTTTATAATTTATTGCTTTCAGTAGCAGGTCATAAAATCATACCTACATATAAAAATGAATTTGGGTCGTAGTGAAATGTTTTGTTTTTACGTTCACATTTTTCAGCTGATCATTCAAATAAATCCAACATTATGAAAATCGATGAACACTCGGTTACTTCATCCCAGTATGATAATGTGATGTGGCGACTTACCTCGATGCATATGATTGCCACGTTATATATCTCTGACAACTGACTGTTTAGTTCAGAAGTATTTGTTGGCTGCTCTTACAGATAGTTTGATGCTATTCCATCCCACAGTAGGGCAATTGTTCTCTTGTGTCTTATAAATATATTATTAGGTAATGTGGACGTTTCAAATATTTCTTATGATCTATGGCCGCTCAATAATATCGCGTGACAAAATTACAAATCGGAATCCGTTTCAGTATTAATAACCTTGCATCAACGCTAAGCTCTTATTCGTTCTCAACTCGGTAGCTTTTCTCCCTGCCCTGCCGGTTGAGTTCACAACACAGGAATCAGCCTGTTATGTTTCAAGTATATGTAGTTTATACGCAGACATACCCGATCACATCACACTATAAAATGAAAGAATAACAATTATACATGATTACGCCAAAATATGTCTGTGAGTAGGGTAGACTGTAAACAATGAACTGTCAACAGATTAAGAATACTAAATCATACAACAGTAGTAGGCTACTCTAAAGCCCACGATAAAAGAAATATATATGATAATCTAGTTACCTAATAACTATACAGTAAAATATATTTAATAATAGTCTATAAATTAATCCTAGCAGTTACCATTCCTTTAGTCTTCGTCGGATATAATGAGACCTATACATTGTTTGTGTACATATTTTATTAGGCATATGATAGTACACTGCAAACACAGCTTACTCATTATCATTGTGTTCATGAATTGTCGCAATTTGTGTTTGATTTTTCATAAATTCGATGGAACCTTTATCTTCAGGCATAAAATGCCTTATCACTGGAACATATTTGATAGTTTATCATAGCGGAACGCTTAGTAATAAAGTATTTATTGACTTATCAAATATCTCTAAATGCATGTAAATATGTTGTGAACATATTTCTAGCTCTTCACTTCTATGAATTATTTAGAAATAAAATCGGAAACAAGATAATTGACTGAATTGTGTCCAACACTTCCTAACAATTTGTCTAGTATTTTTATAACACTTAGTGAATGTTCAGTACGTCATGAAATTTTCTGTCTGCAAGTTTTATTTGATTCTTGCATAAAACTATACTTTTAAACGCTTGAAATGAAATAAACGATTACACATTATAGAATTTTGTATATAAAATTTAATAATTTACTCAAAATATAGTTTCATGTATTACTTAAATAATTTAGTTTTAACTGAATGACAATTGTTAGTAGTGTAACATTTCAACTAGAATGATGTTTGTATTCCATTGCATTACAGTGATTCAATCATTTATGGGTGATAGAAAAGCACGTCTTAGTCTGCCAGACTATGGTTCAATTATTATTCATCGTGCCTTAAGTTCGGCCAATTTACGCGACGAATTATATGCTCAATTGTGCAAACAAACGACAAGCAATCCGGATGTGTAAGTTAATGATATTTTAAAAATCAAATGTATCAATCACTGTAGCAGCAATCAGTCTACTGTGACTTTGTGTTATGATAACGATCTATGTTCACAATCTTATCTGCTTATCCATAATCTTTTCGCTTATATTTCTCATTTTATTTCGTAAAATTACATAGTAATAAATCGTAAAACTGTCTGATCTGTTTTTTGTGTACCCTGTTTAACACTTTTAGACGTATTCAGTTACTTCTAAAATAGGTTGACTATTACAGACACAAAAACACTGAACTACTTAGTATAAATGTCTTCTTTTAAGAAAAGCATAATTTCGCTTTTAAATTATCACCTACTGTTATTGTGATATTTTAGTGAATCTTCTCCATGATTCATTACACTACTCCCGTTGAAGAATATAAAGATATTGGAGTGTAATATCAAACAATATTTTCAGAATTCTATATTACAAATTTCATTTATATTATTCAGTTGATAGCCTTAGTCTTAACTTACGTAATCCTACATACGAATCACACTGTTGTTCTTGAATTATTAGCCTGCATTAGTCATCCTTGACCTTGACTATTGGTTAACAAACATCAAACATCTAATGACCAATTTCATGAGGTAGAGATGTGTTTAGTTTTACAGACAATTCGGTTAGAGTTCAGTGTTAGTTCACTAACCTTACACACGAAAAACTTTTTTAATTCAATCAATTTTGATTATCATCGTTATATTTCCCTAACAATTCGTTATCAAACAATTTATACATCCATTTATTATAAAATAATTTTGTTTGTTTCAACAAATATCTCATTTCTTTACATGTAATAAGGTCATTTTAATTGAAACATAAACCGTATTTTCACATTAGCTTCAAATCACGATAAACTAAGATATCTTAAATGTATCAAACAAGTATTATGTATTTTAATCAGTAATACCAGTAGTAATTCGCATATTTCGTCATCTAAACCACTTGACTATCCACTAAAATAATTTTGTTTATATAATTTTGCACAAGAAGTATATATGTTTTTATTATCATTATCTTTGTTTATCTATTATTGTTGTGCACTATGAGTATATGCTCTCTTGATTTACGGCAAACGATAATGACATCTGTATAAAACAGTTGTTTATACTTTTCCCATAAAAAATAGTCTCTTATGTAATAGAATTCATGTAGTTTTTTGCATTAAGCTTTGTATATTCAAATTATGTTTATATATGATTTGGTCTATTTGATAAATGTCGATACAGTACGTAACAAAATTCAATGTTTACGAGACATGTGATTCTTTAAGTACATAATACAGTTGTTTATATATATATATATATATATATATAATCTGGGTAAATATTGTAACTAACCATATATAACGAAAGGAATTTTAACATGTCTGTAATAAAGTAAGAGCATAAAGTAACAGTATACTGGGAAGCTTTACCAGTAGACTTAATTATAACGGCGGTTACAAATTTAATATCCATATAATTTCACTAATGGACTGTCATTTGGTTGTCAGTATGGATTTTATAGGCTTTGTCAGAAGGGCAAATATTTTGGATTTATCGTAAATACATTAATCTTGGATTGGTTTTACTGATATTGTGTGACATATCTCAAGATCACTGACAATAGTGTAGGTTCATTCACTGTATCTTCCTTTGAATCTTGCTCAAGTTTCACCATTTTTTCATACATAGCTTCTTTCTGTCTTTCTTACCATATTCCCAACTTTTGGTTTTTCACATAATTGCTGCTACATAAATCCGATCCCTTCGCTATTCATTTTGTTAATTTTATCTCTTCATAGTTATTTGGTATAACAATACACATTTGTGCCAGGCGCGCTACATTAATTATGACTGACTGGCCAGAGAATTATAGTCACCACATATTCCGTACATTCTCACTGTTTTTATTTTTTTCAATAAAGTGCCCGTTTCACGCTATTAGTTTCAGTTAACAAATTGCCTACTACAGCATCAAATAGAGTTTTTCATAAATCCAACTCTTCAACAACTTAATCACTTTCCGATAACAAATAAAATTCTAGATTAACCAGTAATTCGTTACAAATTGTTTCAAAGAAATCAATTCTATAGATGTTTTTATTCAACTTTAATTTCTAACATCACAACAGCTGCCAATATAATTCGTCTTTTATTTTATTTCTTTTTGTCGCTGCATACCCTTCTCACCCTATTCCACACCTATATTTCATCCTGTCTACTACTACGCTGTTAGAGTTATATAGTGTATACTTGAGACATTTTACTCATTCTAGGTGAACACCCTTTTGCCTATTTTTTTGTTTTGACTAGTTACGAATTGCACAGTAATTTGCAATGATAAATGTTTTTTTTAAACTATCGACAATAATTCTTTGTTTGCATTTAAGGTCAGTCTGTTATGTTGCCTATTGTTTTGTTTTTCAAAAAAAGCTATCAACATTGTTTACATTTTAATTTTACGTATTCATTGTATTATATTTTCTTTAGGAAAAGTCTTACAAACGGCTGGGCTCTTTTATGTGTCTGTCTTTATTACTTCCCACCAAATAGTAAATTTCGTGATCATTTATATGCTTATCTTCAAAGTAGAGCGGATGCATCAGTCATTTTGAACAGTAATACAATCAGCACAACTGCCTTTACTACAACACCGACTAATTTTAATCAAAATGATATTGTTGAATTCAATAACCATACTGTATCAACTGAATCTAGTCTTAAGACAGCCACAGCAATCGCTTCTGGTTTGAATCCATTCAGTGCTAATAACAGTAATAATAATCTTATGGATAAATACCAACAGTCAAATGATTTGTTAACTAATTCAAAACACTTCACTTCACATTCTAATCATAATTGTACAATGGGAATCGCATTAGGTCCATGGGACCGTCCAACTGCAGCTCATTTTGCACGTGTTGCACCTAGATGGTTTGTTCGTTCATTAAATGTTGGTGTACGTAAAACATCGGTTGGTCCATCGATTGAAGAAATATGCCATGTTAAGGTATATGATTAACTTTTTCAAATGTTTGGTACAAGTTATTTTTCTACAAAGCTTTTTTATTCCGCATTTGAAATTTTTTCTACTATATAAGGTACTTTTTCACTAGTGTTACCATCATGCACGAATCTGCGGGTTTTTTATTTCAAAAAATTATTATTATTCAAGGGTTAACTTTAATTAGTTCTATATGCAATATATGTTCTGTTATAGTTATGTAAGCAACATCATCATGTATGAAACGTTAACCGTCTGTTACTGTATAAACATCCCGGAACTTAATACAGAATGGAGATGATGAATTTGTTTTTATGAGTAGTGGGGAAGTCATACATACATATATTACTTAGGCTTAAGAAGTAGCTTTTCTCTGTGAGAAATTATTCAGATTGCTTTTACTACTACTTGTACATTTGTAATTTAATCATACAAAAAATTGAGTTTAGAAAAACTATTCTGATATACCCATAGTTTATTTATAGGCCGTTAATTAATTCATGTATGACAATCACGCATAATATATAGTACCTCAAAACTAGAGGCTCTGTATCACAATTTGATTATAAACGAAATATCAATTGTTAAAATTAAGTCATTTACTCTACTGTGGTTTTCATCAACTCCGGTAGTATCCCTAGCCCGTACGCTTATAGTGTGGTTCTATGCTCGATTACCGAGTAAATGAGTTTATTTAATTTAGTTAAAACTAACTGACGTTGTGTTAGTCACCGTCACCACATCCAAGTCAATTGTGGCTTTCACTTTCGCGAAAGTTTTTAATTCCATATCCTTATTTTCCGTTTATTTTTAGTAAACAACATAATACAGTGTACTGACTATCTATTTAAAAAAATATCAACATGATACAAATCATCGTGTTTATTACAGTGTTTATTGTTAACCTTTATTTTACAATTATGTTTATTCATTCATTTGTATCCTGAAAATTCCTGTAGTTAAACATCGTCTACCTAAATTATGTTTCACTTCTTGTTTGTGATGATAATAATAAAGAGGTTTGATTGTCAGCCTCCTTACACAACGTTTGTAATGATTTGGTGTTTCGATCATTTAGAAATCAGCCCAGACAAAGAAAAACGTTTTGTTGATGCCCATTTTGTGATACGAAGATCAAATATTAACAGTTGAATTAGTAGTAAACACTTTCCTGTAGAGTTCCCCTTACTTTCATTATTAATATATGCGTCGATTGGCAAGATACACTAGCCTACCACTTGAATTAGTACAATAGTTGAAAACAACTGACATTTTGTCATAAACTGTTGATGATGATCATATCGGTGGATTCACCTTTTAGTGGCCTTATATCTGATTCCGATTAGATCGTATGGATGATTGGTGTTCTAGTATATGATTATCGACTTAAATTGTGTTAGTGAATAGCGGAATTAAAAAAGCCAAGTACGAGCATGGATTTTTGAATGTATATATTTTATACACTCATTGATGTGAATAGACAATCAGAAGAATGAAGAGACGAGAAGAGAATGAAGCAAAATGACGTGCAGTGGAGATGGCGTGTGAGCTCACTCAGTTTAATCAAGTGTTAATCAGTATTTATAGTCATATATAAACAAGTTACAGACATGTGATGTATGGGATAAGAAGGACACACATATACGCCCATATAAGAACAGTCAAGGTTGATAAGTGAATGATTACCAAGGTCAAAATATGACTCAAGAGGAGTGGATAGATTGGCCTGTCCAGAACCTAGAATAAGTTATATGGGCTTAACATAGTAACCAACACTACAACCTAAGGTCTATTTTCTTAGAAAAATCTCCAAGTTGTTTCATAAGCTTCCTTTTTCCATTTTTATTTAGATTAGAAAATTTTATGTGTAAATGTACGTGTTTGTTAGGTGGTTGAAGGTATATAACAAGATACCCTGGAATGAAGCTTCACCCTACCTGGTGCTCGTCAGCATTATGTATCTGAAATATTGGTAACAATGACTTGCTTTCTGCGACTCGAACCCACTTCACTCAGCCTTACGGTCTGAAATGTTATCATTAATCGATATGGGTCACGACTGACCTCTCGTATTATTGAAATTTTCATAACCATTCTGTTCGGAGTTTTTTGTCGATCACTTACAACCACCTTACATTCTCAACATTATGCATACGATATAGAGTTACTTAGACTAGTTGCCAAATTACATCGTGATCAATATAATATATACTGGTCACTACTCAGTGATCAGTCAGTTGTATATACACTTTTACGTACACTTCTTTATCGCTGTTTCATCAATTACTTTTTGTTTTTTGGTTATCATCTCTAAGGATTTTTTGTTAAAACCATGTATATTTGGTAGTTCCTTGGATGAAATGATGCAAATACAGGCATATAGATTTCCTCATTTACGTTTACCATGGATACAGATATTTCTCACTGAAGAAATTCTACGGTTAAATGGAGCACGAACGGAAGGAATTTTCCGGTGAGTGTTGTTATTCCTTGTTTCTTTTTTTTATTTTAGTAAAATGGAAAATCGTCTTCATATAGAAAAAATGGGCACTCCAAAACGTGCTTTCCAAAATTTACGAAACATAACAAGCATTCACAATCTATTTTAACTAAGTACCCGACCGTAGCTGCTACCTTGACGCGGTGGTCGGGCTTGCCTATCGTGATGACCCAACCGAGTTATATTGGCTGGAACATATGTTCCTGTAGGTTCTACCATGCCAGGCAGGTCGATTGGAGAATGGTAAGACTAAAAGCAGCAACTCAAGGTCTGAGGGCGAAGTCGTACTGCTGATTGTAGAGGGGTGTGACAGCAGTAAGGTGTTTCCCTTGGACAACCAGCACCTTCAGCGGTGCTGCCATCTCACAAGGAGGGGTGGGGTTAGAAAAGCCCTCATACCCGTAACAGCACACGAGACGAAGTTGGTCACATTCAAATCCTTCCTACACCTCCTAATACCTCTCTTATCTCCATGACTAACCTTCCTCACGTCTGTTTATCACCTCATACCGCTAGGGCAAACGGAAAAGTAAAAATCCGGAAAGAAAGGGACACTCGTCTCTGCCTATTCTCCCACTAACTGCAGCTCAGATGATGTAAAAGATGAGTTTTACAGAAAGCTTTCGACCTTCTCCGAAAAGCTAGACGCTCTGATGTAGTAATAATGGCCGGTGACATTAATGCTCAAGTACGTAAACCAAGCGATAGGGAAAGACACCTAGGTGGATCTTATGGTGTCGTGGCTCAAAGAACAGATAATGACGACCGTCTGTTGCAGCTATGCTCAGATAACCGCCTCTTTCCTGCAAATACTAACTTCAAGCATGAGGAAATACATCTTTTAACATGGCGACTCCCTAATTCGTCCCAACGTTAGACCCAAATAGATCAGATCGCTATCAGTCACCGATGGAGGGGCTCGATAGAAGACTGTCGCTCTTTTCTGAGCACATGCTTAGATTCAGATCATGCTCTAGTGCGAGCGCGTATTTGCTTGCGTCTTACTGGACGTAAAAAAGACGCTGCGGGGAAACCTCTTAGGGGCCTACTTAATGATAGTCAAACTAAGAGTATATTTCAGGAACAACTAGAAAAACAGTTAGGCAGCCATGTATGTGATGCCTACTCCGATGCAGCATGGAATGATATCCGAAAAGCTGTGGAAACAGCAGTAATATCTGCTAGTTCGGTAAACCGTAAGGTTAGGGAGGAACATTGGATCTCAGCAGCATCTATCGCACTGATAGATGCTCGGAAACTCATTCCACCTGGCTCTGAACATAGTGAAGAGCGGAGTCAGCTTAGGCACAAGCTGACAAGAAGTCTACGCAATGATCGTGAACAGTGGTGGGTAGCGAAAGCAGGGGAGATGGAAAAGGCAGCGGCAATAGGTAATAGCAGACAATTGTTCAGACTTGTTAAGGAAACCGGTATTAGGAAACCGACTGTTAGCGAAACAATCTCAGAGAAAGATGGACATATATATTCTCAATCCAGGAGATTGGATCGATGGGCAAAACACTTCAGGAATCAGTTCAACCGGCTTTCAGCCACACTTCGGTTTCCCACGATCTCCAGTTAACCTGAATGGCAAGTTAATGTAGGTCCTCCGTCCCTTTACGAAGTTGAAAAAGCCATAGGAAATCTGAAGCGAGGGAGAGCAGCAGGCCCTGACAGGTTTACTCCTGAGATTTTTAAGGATGGTGGTCCAGTATTAGCAGTGAGATTAACTGAGGTCTTAGGTAGAATTTGGGAACTGGACGTAATCCCATCTGACTGGTCTCAGTCACTGATTGTGCCAGTCTATAAGAAAGGACAAAAGTCTTCTTGTGACAATCACAGAGGAATCAGTTTAACTAATATAGTGTCTAAAATATTAGCCTCAATAATAGTTCGACGCCTAATCAAAGCTCATGAAGAGCAGACTAGAGAAAATCAAGTTGGTTTTCGACCTGGACGTGGTTGTATAGACCACAAATTCACACTACGTCAGGTTCTAGAACACAGACACACATTCAGACGCCTCACAATGATAGTATTTCTCGACCTTATGGCGGCATTCGATTGGGTTACATCGACACCTGAACTAATGATAGGGAGTGAAGTAGTTGAGTTTGTCGACCGCTTCACTTATCTTGGAAGTCTCATCAGCCCTTGTGGTCTGGTGTGTGACGAAATCTCAGCGCGGATGCGGAAGGCTCGACTAGCCTTTACCAATTTGCGTCATTTATGGCGTAGGCGAGATATCCGTCTATCAACCAAAGGACGTGTTTACTGCGCAGCAGTTCGTTCCGTCCTACGTTATGGCAGTAATGCCAGAACAAAACATGGCACAAGTCCATGAAGTCATTGACAAGTGGACTGAATCATGTCAGTAGGTGTAGACTATCTTGTTGGGGACTGCGAGATGATAGCAACCGATGGTTAGAGACCCTGAATGACATGGTTCAAAATCGTTTGCAATGGCGCAGGTGCATACACTCTTTGTGTTCTCCCAAATTTTGATCTCCTTATTCCTCCTTGTCTCTTTATTCCTCTCCCCAAATTTATTTCACTGTATTATACTCTTTAAGTAACATCTCCAAACACTAATTTTCCCGATTACTGCTTTTATACTCTTGTTACCTCTACCACTACGGGATCTGAATCGACCACTACATCTGTGTGCTAATGTGGTGTGGCAACTCGATCTGATGTACGTACGTACGAAGTTCTACGTTGTTACTGACTGACTGACTGTAACTAAGTAACAACCATATAGTCTCACAGAATTGCTTTCACCATGTTTGGTATTATGTCAAATCGACGAGTCACAACATCAGTTATACTCCTACCATTTCATTAGCTAAAATGCACAAATATACCCTAACCTAACACTGATATATTTTACGTGAATTGATTGTTTTTTTATCTTCTGAATATTTAAAGTATGTCCAACCCACTTCACCTGTTAACCTACTTATAACATATAAGCATTATCTGGTAGACAATATGAAGTGTTCTTTAGGAAAATGACTCTTTCAACTGCTTACACAAACGAGCTCTTTTCATTTGAAAAAATTATTTCCGATTGTATTTCTTCTAATTGAACTGCTTCTCCCATTATTATTGTTATTATTGTCATATCACTCTAATACACTAATTTCCATCCTTTTTCGCTCTTTTTTTTATTATACTCACCTTCGTTTCTCTATATTTTCACAACCTCATTGTTATTGTTTGTCGCATATATATTTTGGTGCTCCTTTGTACTAATGTTTATGCTTCCAGGTTTTTCATGGTGGTCTAGCTTCAATTGACTCATGAATTTAACTATGAAATAAATAATAATAAAATAAATGATTGACTTGCTTTATGGTTAACCAATGAAGTCATTTTTGTTTATTTTCCATGTTAGTATTTTAATACTAGAAGGGTTTGCTGGGTTTTTTTCAAAAATTACCAAATGGACATTTTAGTGCAGCAAACAAGTAAGAGAAATTTTACTATATGCTAAACTTGAATTGAAAGGTACATAGTTGTAATTCTAGAAATATTAGCAGCTTTCATTCAATTTAATTAAAAGTATCTTGATACAACCTATTATATAATTAAAATATATCATTATAGTTTGTTTGAATGAACATGAACAATAGTTGCTATTCACATAGACTGTTTCTGTACTATAAGCACCGTTATTAAAGAGCAGCTCAATTGTCATTTACCAGAAATATTTTGTTTTTTTCTTAAGTAATTCAAACAAATCATCCAGTATAATCTTTTCTAAGATTTTCAATCGTTTTAATTATGTATTGTAAAAATGGAAAACTATTTGATCCCTTTTTTTGCCTCATTTATATTTACTTTTGTGTTAAATGCGTATTGGAATTAAGAGAGAGAAACACTATTATTTTCGGAATTAACGGATGGTATGACCCTATCTCAGATTGATAACAAACTTAGTGATGTGATTTCATGTAAATCTCCTTGTACTTCTTTATTTTATTGTACAAATGGGATAAAGTTCATAGCCAACTGACTTTTCTGTAAATATCTGAGCCAGTTTGCGAAGATTTAATCAATTAGAAAATCATATTGTATTACATGCGATTGGTATTAAACCATAAAGGCTCTGAATTCGTGGGTGCGTACTATTGAGAAGTGTTGTGGTGACACTTGGGGGGAAGCCGAAAGAGGAAGTTTACAGGTGAAAGTCAATGTAGGAGGAATAATAGAAGTTGAAGAGGGAGGTTGATTATGAATACAGTGGTCTTGAGTGCTGTTAGAGGTATGAGGCCGGTTATCACTTCCCGGTTGCACACACCGTGGAATGGTTCTTCAAGAGGTACCTGAAAAGGAAATTGGTTTAGAGATGGTCTTAGTGACCCGAGAGCGTGATCGCAGTGCCCAAGGGACAACTGCCTGAGGTCGGTCACACACTACCTTTTTATGGGTAATTTTTGTGTTAGCTCCGCACTTGCTGAGACCTTACCGCCGGAGACGGATATCTATGGGATAAGGCAAGGTCTGCATTTTTAAAGTTGATCTTTTCTAACCCCACCCTTCCTTGTGAGATGGCAGCATCGCTGTCATGCTGGTTGTCTGAAGGAAACACCTTACTGCTGTCACACCTCTGTACAGTAAGCAGTACGACTTAGCCTTCGGACCTTGGGTTTGTTGCTTTTAGTCTTACCGCTCTTCAACCGACCTGCCTGACATGGTAGGACCTTGAGGAACGGTTGTTCCAACCAATACAGCTCGGTTGCTTCATCACGATAGGCAAGCCCAACTACCACGTCAAGGTAGCAACAACTGTCGGGATTGAGAAGTGCTAAACTAAGACGAAGCACATGTTGGATCTTTCATGGTTTTCATTCTTTTACATAGTATCAGTTTATAGTGAAAGCGATCTTCAAATACATCTATTGTGATTTCTAAGTATTTTATACTTTAATTTTACATAAAAGACCAATTTTTACAATTGTTTTTATATCTCGCTTCTTGAATTGATACAAGTGGACACTTTTGTTACGAAAAGAATTTTCGGAATGGTGAAACTATGAGTAGAGTCTTAAGCTTCTGTTATTTAATGGTATTATTTCACATTATTTGAAAGATTGTGGTTGAGTAATCCTACTGCTACTTTGATGTGATGGTCCGGTTTGTATGACTTGATTTTACTCAAACGAGTTAAATCGTCTCGAAAATTCAATACTTCATGTTCGACCATATCAGCCAAATTGATAGGATAGAGAGTAGTGAAAACTAAAAGCTGTACACTCATAGTCTGAGTTCGAAGTCATACGGCTGACTGCATAGGGCTGTGACAGGATTAGGGCGTTTCAAATAACCAGCATATGCAGTGATGCTGCCTTCTGACAACACAAGGAGTTGGTTAGAAAACGTCCATCCTAAAAGCAGCGTACATCACCCCATGAATTTCTGTCATTAATAATAAGGCTTTGAAAGTACAGAGCTAACTCATCTAAAACTACTCGGAATAAAGCCATGTGTGTCCGACCTCAAGCGGTCGTCCCTTCGGCACTCAAGTCAATCTCCCAACTCGTCAGAATTGCTCATAACCTAGTTTCTTCTACGGGAACCTCAAGAAGTATCCTTCCAACCTGAGGATGTCAATTGTCCTCATAAATCTAACAGTAAATCTTTTTTTATAAGTTTGTACTAATTATTAAACTTTACTTTAATATAATATCCTAGGTTTATCAGAATCCGAAAATTTTTTTCACTGTTTCAGTTACTTTAGCATAAGAAAGGTTCCAACTTGAAATGTGTCAATTATCTAAATAATTGGTACTATAACGGGACTCAGGCAATATAGAATTTAACACTTGTATCTGAATGGGGATTTGTGGAGATTGTAGTTATTTTAACAGTTGAATTCATGAGACAATCTAAGCTAGACCACCTTTAAAAACGAAATAGCTATCTAGTGACTCCAGGTTTTCAATGTTCGTCTAGCTTAAACCGACTCGCAAATTCACCTCTGTATCTTATTAAATCCAAGTCTTCACAACAATAAAAATACAAAAATCAACACAAAATCATTAAAATAAAGAGATTGAATGATTAAGGTAATAGGATGTTCAAAAGTCAAAACACAAACTCAACCACAACACTAATAGTAATAAATGCAGCAGTTATATATTTGCTACAGTGTTAAACGTTTTTCAATTACAACTTACTTATAATCTTGAAGTTTTCTGCAATCTAAGCCCATAATTATGCCAGAAAGTGTTGAGTTTGTTTTATATCTTTAAATTATTATTCACACTTTACCGCCTTTCTAATCGTCCTGTGGTTAACCCATAAATTTTAACTATTCCATTCTTTTTATTACAGTGTTCCTTCATTTATAATTTTTATTATTTCCAGTTGCTTCTTCTAGAAATATTAAATACTAATTTTCTTTAATTATTAATTCCCCATGTTGTGGTGTCGGATATTGATCGAAATATTTAGTCAGCAATTATTTTATTTGATGTGTACTATTAACAGCATAATCCCTCCATCCCATATATTTCACCATTCTTTCATGAAAGATAAAATGATCCACATCTTTTCCTTCATTAAACAAGGATATTTTTGTAATTTACTAAATTTTGTCTAACTAAATCCATAGAGTAAAGAATAAAAGTAGCTTGTAACGAAGTCAAAAGATTCCTTTTGTCTAGACACATTTATTATTATCCTTCTCATCTATCAATCCTTATCCACTTGTCTATCTACTTATAACCCTTATAACACTTGAATAAAATCAACCTGTCTCTCTCTGTCACACACACACGGAAACATGAAATGAATTTGTACTATAACCTGCTTTTTTCAGTTTATTATATTGTCTGGTATTTTTAATTGTTATAATCTATGATTTGTAATATCTATTAAGTAATTACCTGTCTTTGTACTGTAAAAACAAATGTGTAAATGAATTTTTATTGATAAATTATTTCAGTGTAAATCATATTTACTCATACGTCGTCGTTCAGTGAACGATCGATTTATGTATTTAACGTTCAGTCATTTTGACACACAAATACAAAATTTACTTTAATTTAGCTTTAATTAACCCCGGTGATGATCATTATCTCTTAGAAAAAGTGTTTGACCCTCATACCTGAGTAGAGAAAAACCTATTTATCAGTTGGCATTTAATACCATTATTCATATTTGAATATGAAAACTGCATTATATCAACGAATTTATTTTCTGTTGTTTGTTTGTTATTTTGAAGTTAATATGTATTACAACTCGATATTAGATGGAATGTCGTTGAAAACTAAGAAACACTAAACAACTGTTTCCTTATATTCCAGAACTCCTCAGTTGTACACACTACCCATTCCAAAACGTTTAGAAACTCTTGGGGAAAAACATCACGTTGCTTCATAACAAGTTACAATCTTCCATATCTCGGCATGTTTAAAGAATGATTCAGATGCTTCTCACAGTAGACTAATATCGATTTCTTTAACGAACTAAGCGGAATTATTAAAGATTGTTTTTCATAACTTACTATTGATCTAACTATGTTAACGTGTTGATTCTACTTTTAAGAAAGAGAATAAATCTTTTAATGTGAACTACATAAGTATTTTGGTAGTCGTAGTAGTATAAAATTTATTGTAACTTGTTTTCGTTCACTGTGGGAAGGAGAGATACATTAAAAAGTGATGTAGAAAGGAATCAAATTATTCACTATGATAACTATAATAATACTATCTATTTTCGTAAAACCGAAAGTGTAAGTAGAATAGAAGTAAAATATACATTTTCATCACTTGGTAGCATAGTTACGATTGTGTTTATATCATACTTGGTGTTTATGTAAACAGAAGACTTCCAAGTCAGTCAGTTAGTTAGTTTTTGTATCATGTAAGCTGCCGTAAAGTTTATTTTTTGTCATTTTTGATCTTTCAGAAATGTTCTATTATTATGGTGCTTCCTACAGCTCTTCATTTCCCACTGCTACTCTCATATTTGTAGCTTTATTAACTAATACTGCGCAGTAAGGCATACATTTATACGACGTTATCGTTATTATTATTGTCATTACTGGCAACCATCGATTTTTATAGTTTACATCACTAACTAACCGTGGTCAGACAACCAGCGTAAATGAAGAAGCATGTGTCTTAATGTATTATTCGCTCCCCACGTAACCTGACGTCCTGATTTTAATCTCTGCTAGTGTAATTGTGAACACGAACTCGTGAGGAGTTACCAATCAATACGAAACAACTATCTAGTGCCTTATTGGTTTCACCAGCTGTTTAACCAAAGTCAGTTTGTAATGTGAATTACAGCATTCAACAATCATTGTAAACCCCTTACACTGGTCAATAATTTTTATCTAGTTAGACCAATAACTACATTGAGCCTACCTATTTATGGAGTCGTAATGAAAAATGATTCCTCAAATTCTTTATCATAACAAACAACACACATGGATCGATGTTATTTTCACATATGTATATATACGTGCAACAATCGTATCACCTATCTCTCCCGTCTCTCTTACAGACAGACGTATATTTGTATCAATATTAGCATACATACAATACACATCCAAAATGTAATTTTATTCAATAGTATTGATTTAGACAGTGGAAAACTTTTTGTTTTCACTTGAACATACGCACACACAGTTTATTTTGATTCAACTGGTTTGACTCCCATTTTGATGATCTCACTTCAGTTACACTATATATGTGGGAACATTATGTGAAAATGATGAATCATTGCTAATGTCTTGTATTATTGTTGCGCATTTCTGCCAATTTTTTTGTTTTGGTCGTCTACTGGCAATAATATTGATAACAACGATGATTATGACATTCTGCGTGTGTTATAGGCATTTCAAAATTAGCTTAAAACTCCTTCATCATTATCATCCATAAAGACAACGATAATGCAACAATTCTATTGCCTCATTACTGAAATTGATAAATTTGGCATAGATTTATTCATATTTTATTCAAAAACGAACGTTTCGTTTTTATGAAATTTCTTTTCTATATATATCCTGTTTTGTTTTCGTGTATAAATATAAATTTTCATTTCATTCTGTCGGTTTATGATATATATATAGTGATGCTAACTCTGTTTTTATATTTGGCATGGGCAAAGTTCCGTTGATTACTAATTTAGCAACTCAGTGATTGCTGATTTCTAACAGTTATTAGAATTTTGTATTAAATTTGATCAATCTTTCTTTCAGTGACTCATCATTATGTATCATGAAGAACTAATATTAATCAATATGCTCTACATCCCAGCTCACATTTTTATTCAGAATCCGAAATTTTCGTATGAAGTACATTAATTTTTATTAGCTGCCTATAAATGGACACAAATTTTATTAGGGTACTTTATAAAGTATTTGCATTTCTACGACAGTCTAATAAGCATATTACCAGTAAACTTTTCAATCTGTTTGTAACTACACCTTGAATAAACTTTGGATGAAATAAGGTGACATTACGCTTTATCACTTATTCGAGGTCTTTTTATTTTTTTATTTTTTATTTTTTCATGTTTCGTAACCTAATGTAATAACACAAATAAACCGCTTTGACTTCTGTCACAAATTGACGTGTTGACGCAAAAAATTGTATCACATCAAATATTATACACAATCAGTGCAAACATCTACTTACATGATCATACGATCAGTGTTATTGTTTTCATACTTTATGTGCACTTTTCTAGTATGTATTCAGTGATTTATTCTATTGTTTTTTCTTCTTTATTCCAGATTATCACCAGATATGGATTTACTCATTGAAGTACGTTGCCAACTAGAGAAATTATTTGAAATATTTCGAGTTGTTCAGCTATGTGATTCGGAACAACAACAGAGTGACAACAATTATGCAAATGATTCTGATTTATCTAGTCGCTTCTTAGTTCATCGTCCACCTCCATCTGGATGGTCTACTTCTGCACGAGTGATTGAAGCAGAAAATAACCCGAATTCCTTTGGTGTTACTGATTCAACAAAATGTAAGCACAATTCTCTACTATTATCATCTACGTTAGATTGGAATTGTCTAACTGGGGAATTTAGTTGGCCAATTTTACCAGAACCATTAAGTTTACCACCAGCCGAATATGTTCTACTTACACCAACTGCTTATTGGCCTAGAACTTTATCCAGTATCATCAAACGTTCGTGTTCAATGTCGTCATCAACATCGTTACCATCTACAACAACTAGTAACAATAGTAATTCTGGTAATCTGGAATCTCATTTAGCTGCAGGACTGTTGAAATTATGGTTGCGTGAATTAAGTCAACCTCTTATTCCAGTTGATCTACAACCGATATGTTTGAAAGCTGCTTGTGAAGCGGAAGTTTATGAATTACAAGATAAAGATTCAATAACTGGTAATAATTTGTCATCGGATTTAAATCCCATTCAGAAATGTTGTCGATTGGTTAGATGCTTAAATCCATTACCAAGAAGATCACTATTATATTTAATCCTACTTCTACAAGTAAATGTTTTGCGTTTTTGTACTAATATACCAAGAGTTTCGAGTTGTTTTGAAATTGTAGTTTAAGATTTTGGTTTTTAACAATGAAAACGTAATATTCCAAAAAGGTTACTGTCTTTACAGGTATATAATCATCATATAGTCAGATTTTATGCATCCATTTAAAGGAGCTATTTAAATCCCTCAACTATTACGCCCTAAAGTGGGAAGAATTCTGATGTCGCTCTCGAGGTTTTACTTTAACGGCAATATCCGAATATTAATGATTATTTGATGCTATGACTACTAGTTACTGCAAAATATTATTCCTATTTAAATTACACATTGAATTTCAGTAAATGGTATATAACCATTGGGATTGAAAAACGTTGATTTTGAGCCAATGAATGTAGAACAATCAATGAGGTTATAGTTTTACATTACTGATCGGTATTTTTGAAATCTTAAATTTGAGCTTTTAAACATAATAAACTGTTACTCAATGATAATGGATCAATGCCAATGACTGAAAATCGCTTACCACCCAGTAAATTGACTGATATAACAGAAACATCATTAGCACGATGTACGAATCACGTGAGCTTAGTAGATATTTGGATATATATGCTTATGTGCATCAGTGTCACGATTTTACCAGCTGGTAACTTGTTATCATTAACAAACCATGTAGTTTTGCAAACTTCCGGAATATAAGATTTTGTATGTAAAATTGTAGAGTAAGGTGTAAAACTTCATCCTATATTTTTCGTATTTTACTTACGCCTGTTACCTATTGTGGAGCATGGGCCACTGACCAGGATTCTTCAACCTATTCTGTCCTTGGCTCTCATTTCCCAGTTTTTCCCAAGTGTTTTTCATGTCTGCCTCCATTCCCGGAGCAATTTATTCTTTCGTCTGTCTCATTTCCTCTCGCTTTGAGAATTACAAGTTGGGGTTTGCTTTGTTATGTGATAGCTAATTATAAATACTTATACCCTTTTGATGATAGCTGTAATAGTTTTGAAAATTTCAGCTCTATAAAGTAGGACTGTCTTGACGTTAGTATTCTGACTTTGGTTTTGACTGACATTTGTTCGTATTTCACCAAACACTAAATTTTCTATCTTAATTTATTCCTATCTCATAATAAGCTGTAAATTTGTTCGATTCAATATGTAAAGTTTGATTTGATAATATTTCTTCGTTTTGTTTTTCACTCGGTGTTAACCTTAATTTTCTTTTCATATAAAATAGTAAAAAGGATTATGAGTCACTTCTCCACATAAATTATTCACGAAAAACAATATGCCAATATTTATTCAGTTTTATCATTTTCATTTGTTTTTCTAATATCAATTTCTACTTCTTTTTTTCTGCCTCGACTGTTTTCTAATTCTATCTACGCTAGTTATCTGGTTGGTTAGTTATTTAGAGATGAACAAAATACTACTACTCCAAGTTAAATGTTTATAATGAATTCCTAATTAATAGTGAAATTAATTTATCTAATATTCATTGGATGAATAGATAGAACCATTCACATAATATCCTTTATATTGGCTAGAACTTACCTTTCCGATAGAAAAATAACAACTGACATTAACGACTGTATTAAGATGAAATATTAAACCAGAAGTTAAATGTAAACTAAAATTGTTTGATTTGTCAGTAGGAAATATTGTTTGATATTGAATTAGGCTGAAAAAAAAACTTGATAAAAGTATAGGGTAGGAATGAGCTTGGGCGATTCTTAAAGTGACTACGTTATTTTGAAGCCAGTGGGCAAAGAGTCTGTATGGATGAAAGTATTTCAAAACAGATATTATGAAACCTAAGAAAGTCTAGCGGTTTTTTGGAAGAACCTTATGGAGCACCTTGTGCAATGAAAGCTAAACGCTGGGTGTCCTATTGACTACTTAAACCTACCTAACATCTCAACACAGTACATGCGATTTCGAGTCACTTAGAGCCATAGGCACATGGTAATTTGACTGATAAAACTCGATCAAAACTAAGGACTAGATAAAATATATGGCACTGGTTACTACTAATCAGTCATTAATTAATGTTATTAAATGGTGTTTGATGCGATAATGGATATATATAGTGTTTAGTTATTCGTTCAAATAAGTGTTAATCAATTTCATATAAATGAAGCCTCATTATTCTATCCAAACATTAATTCATCTGCCTTTTACTTCACTGTGATATTCTTATAGGATATAGACAGTTCTAGAAAACTATTTTATCATCCCTGCTGTGTTGTGTATTATCACTTGAATAATGAACTGTTCATGTTAATTTTTCATTTTAGCAATTCACAATATCTTTTTTTTTCAAATTCAGTCAACGTACATGGAACTATTGATCTTTACTAGCCTGTATTTCATATTGTTGAATGACCTAATAATTCACATGCTGTGAATAAAAATTTTTTCTGCTGTTATTTTGACCACCTTGTTTTATATACATTTCGGTAATAAATTGTTTTTTTTTTGGTATTCACAACAATGTTGCTGATTATAATTTAATCAGTGGGGTAAATTGAATTATTTATATGGGTTTTTTATCTGTTTTTTGTCACTTCCGATGTAAAATCTTAAAAATCCACTCACTATTGTATATTCATATATTATCATAAATATTCTTGATCGTTATGCATTCATCATTGAACAGGATGAGTCGACCAGGATGTTTCATACAAATAGTTCCCTTTATTATCTTAAACAGAGCAAGAACAAATATTGGTGCAGAATAATATGAATTCATTTGATTTCGTTAGGTTCTCGTCAGCTGCTTACAACCTAAAATATTTGAAAATCAACGTTATTACAGATATTGACATACTTATCCATAAGAGGGTGATTAAAGATGAATATCATGATGTAATCAAGATTCCAATAGAGTTAATGAGGTCATAAAAATTTTGTTTCGAATAAATATACTTTGGGAGGGAATGTTCTAAAACATTGAAATAGTGATTAGAACTCATGGAGTTAACAAACATTAGGTGATTGTGTGATTAAGCAACTGAAAATAGATTAATGGTAATAAGGAAAGATGAGAACCTAATGAAATCACATTATTCTGACTAAGATGTGTCGATTGAACTGTGGATTAACTGGTTCAGATTATCAACAAAAATGGAATCTATGGAGCTTATAAAAATTAGTTTTAGATTCAGTCCTGTCAAACTATTTAGAAAACCACTCTGAAACAATCTTGACCGGTACGACAGTAAAATGGACAACTCTGCACAAACATTTATCCTAACCAAAGCATAACCACATATATCAGCCTGATAAAAGGAAATTCACAAAATCCAAATGGCACTGTCCTAAATCTAATTAGTTCAACTATAAAATATACTTCCATCCAGACTGCCAATGTGTCTTTAGTTATGCATATAAATAAGTCAAATAGCTCATTTGCAACTATCAATTTGTTGATTTTGGGCTGAAATTATGAGTTCACCTACCATTCCTGGTGTAGGTGAAGATTGAGTGTCCAAATCCGCAAGTTAGTCAGTTAAGTATTTATTTATTTGTTTTATTACCAATATTTTGTTCCCATTCGCTAAAAGCATTTATATTTTCATCATTTTGTTTCTCCCATAATCTTTCGTTGTTGTTTATCTTTCATCTACTTGCTGGCAACATACAGCATCTATCGAAGCCAGTTCATTCAAATCAGTCATTAATGGATGCGCGTAATTTATCCACTGTGATTGCACCAAACGTAATGCGTTCATCAACTAGTAAAGATCCCCGTGAATTGCTACAGAATGTTAAACCACAAACATTATTCATTCGTCTCTTAATCACTTATTTGGATATTGAAGTTGAACTAAAATATTTGAGAGAAGAAGAGGAAGAGGCTCGTAATGTAAGTGGGGAAGACGGTGAATTGAAGGAGAAAACGATCTCAGACACAATTATTGATGGCACTGATACTGGAGTTAAACCAATACAATTTAATAATGAAAATAATAATACTGTATCATGTAATCATGACAAATTGTCGTTATCATCCAATGGTTATGTATATTTAACATCACCGGTACGTGTTAGACTTGGTCCTGACAATGGCTTCATACCTATATGAAATGTGATTTGACTATTCTATTTGCCTTTCTGTTTTGATACGTATTGGTTATGCATGTTTACACATGCATACGCATATATATGTATTCATCTATCCTTTTCTCCATGAAATAATGCAATCATTGGTCTTAATAATATCTTGCTATATATGCACATTCAGTCTTTCTCCTGGTGTCATGCACAATCAGGCTGAACAAAATTTATGGTTTGGATTTGTTCGTGTATTTTCTCTTCATTGAGTATCTATTCACCACTAATCTCTTTTCATTTTATATCACTTATCTTTCTGTTCCTTCTCTCTGGGAATATTTTCTCCGATCGAGATAACAATCACCTTTTTCTAACAAATGCTGATAATTTGCTTACTGACTAGTCTGTCAGCATCAATATCCACAACCTCTCCTTTTTTTGTTGTCGTCGTTGTTTTTTTGTCTGTATCTCGGATTATTGATCGAGGTATTCATCAGAAAGTAAGTACATTTAAATAATGCGTTTACATTAATGTATCACAAGAAGAAATTTTAGTGAGATGAGTTTTCCTGTTATTTGAGAGAAATGAACCTAATGGGCGTGTCACTTATATATCAGAATGGATATCACAATTCATCTTTTAAGAGGAAGTGAATGCGCAAGAAGAATATAAACTCTGATTAATTTTTTTCGAAAAACAACTGGATGTGATGTTCATTGAAACGTACAGATCAATATTAACAATAGTAATGTGTTGGTTTACTTGCAGACACACAGATTGAAATATTTCAACTCTCATTTTAAAAACAAGCATATAAACTTACCCTCATTCTTTACTTTTTACTTTGTGTTTATATCAAGCGATTAACCTGAACAAAAAGTTTATTCTCGTCCTTGTGTTGTACAGTTAATCTCTTATTATCAAGACATTTATTGTAATGCTATAATTACATATGATTACAGTGATCTTTCATATATTACAATACTTTTTGTTTTTTTATAAAAATAGGGAGGTAATTGAAATGATATTACTATTGTTGCTATTATGTTTTCAAGCAATATACACGTGTATTACATGTGTAACTATTAAAATTATAGAGTTTGAAAAATGTACTATACTAACGATTCTTTTAATTATCGTTTTACGTTATTATAACTGCAATGTTGAGTTGAAAGATTACATCTCATTGTTGACTACCTGTTTTGTTCTCATTTGTGTGCACATTAGTTGTGTTGCATCATTTTTATGTGTTGAATTATGGGTATTAAGAGTGTAATGAATATTTGGATAGATTTTACAGCTTACTAGTTTAACTACTTACAATCACACAAGTAGACCAATGTTTCATCCCATCTAAGTTTAAATTGAAGTGTCACCTTACTGAAACCAAAAATATTATTCTTATACATATTTAATGTACAATATGTCAATGTAGTAAAACACTTCTTTTTAAATTGTAAATATTACCTTTTCTTATCTAACTTACGACTTATTTCCAGTTTATTAGCCGATATATATATATATAGTATTCTTTTGTTCACTGCAATCATTTCATCTATGCTTTGTGTAGATCTATTTATCATCTTTGAAATAAAATGATTTGTTCCTAAAGTTCTTCAGAATTCTATTTCACACTGAATTGTTTTTTACGTTTATTTCTAGTTAATACAATTATATATCCATATTATTATCATTATTACTATTGTTACATACATTTATTATCATGTGAATGCAATTTTTAATGATTGTCATAATGACATTATATTGTATTTTGAAATGTTTGTATATCTCTTTTTTCTCACTTTCTTTGTGCTTTCTTATGGCCTTCCTTCATTTATGCATTTCTCATTCTTCGTATTTCGACTGATACTTTTTTGTAAAAGAAGGTAGAAATTCGGTTCAAGTACTCATCGCGTTTTTCTTTCAACAGTGCACAGAATAGGGTTTTTAGATTCATTTAAATAAAATCGAAACTTAAGCTTCTTACCGGTAACTTTTGTGGATGGATATTTAGGGAGTCAAGTAGTTCAGTTATAGTTTGTAGATATTACATTTTACGTTTACCGATGGTAATTCATAGTTACGAACGATTAGAGTATTCGCTTAACTGAACCTACATAAAACTCGACAGGCCCCATGGCTGACACACAGCACTTCAATGATAATCATCAACGTTGATGATGCACATAGAAATTTTAGGGACTAAGAAAGTGTTTAATATTTAAGAAATCCTTGCAGCAGTAAACTCCAAGTGTAAAATGAATAAGAAATGTATAACCTCGTCGGTTTTATATGCTCAACCAAATCAACAATGCTTCGTAATTAAAAGGTTCTATACCGTTAAGTATCCCCATGTCTGTCACAATGATTAATCGTTTTCTTGAAATCCCATAATAAGATTCACTTTTTCTTTGAGTATTAAGACTAATAAAACAAGCGATTCATCATTAACTAAATAAAACTGCATATAACATTTGTTGAATATGAAGTAAATTGTTTTCATTCAGTCGGTAAAGTTCAATAATCGAATATAAATTTTCTAGTAAACCTAACAGTATTTGATTTTAATAACTGGTTCATCTTTATCTGAATTACTGAAACCATAAGCTGAGCACTACGGACGAAACATATGACACTTTGTTAGCATTTTTACTCATTTGCTTTAACTTAGTCCTGTTTGCGCTTTTTTAAGATAGTGGATTCATGCGCATGGTAAGTTTCCGATCCTTAAGCTTTATACACTGGCCTCGTCCAATGCTTCCAAAACTTTATTTTCAGATATGTCTTAAATATAAATTATTCCCATTCACAACGCATATTTTAGTTTATTTATATTCCACTTTACCAGTTTAAATTCTAATGTACTTGAGCTCAGTGTTCTACAAAATGACAGACAAGTAGAGATACATACCCCTAATGTAATGTATCACTTTCAACTGCCTAACTTTAGCATCGCGATGCATGAAATTGGATCAATAAATTGAGTTAGTTAACAGATTGTAACATTTAAGTTGAAGAAAAGCTGTTCAAGTAGGCCCCTAGCATATGGTCTCTACACAACGTCAATTACCAATGATCTAATTTTATATATTTATATTTTGACGAAACACTAACTATCATTTTTGTTTCACAAAGATTGATTGAATTTCCAAACATGTAATCAGACTTCTCACAATATAAAAGACTGATCTACACAAGACTTGTTTGAGAAATTTGTGTTTATATGTACACCGTAAATATATGATCCTATTGTGCTTTATTCCTAAACATTTTAGAATAAATTAATTTACATATAAGCTTATCAGGTGGCTTATTTCACATGAAATATCTTGCTCAATTGTATAATTGGAAAATTACAAAATTTATTCCGTATATGTATATATATATATGATTCGGTCGCACACTCCCCTGTTTACCACAACCCCGTGTGTTCAGTATTATTCGAACTTTATGCAAACTATTGTGAAAAAATGACTTATGAAGACCGTGTTCGTCATCGTATAGGATGAAATGCATCATGTTCACTACAGGTCATTCATAGGACGTAATCAATTATGAGCCTGAAGTCTTTTGGCTGATCTGTGTAATCAGCCTTGATGAAATTATCCTATTGTACATGTTCATATTTTGTTTGTTATTTTCATTGTCGGTGTTTGTAAATTCCTTTTCATTCTACTCGTTTAAACTCAACGTATTGTGGATATTTCGGGCTAGCACTGGAGGGATTATAATAGAAGAACTTCACTTACAAGTTACTGGAATGTTTTTATAAGTATGTGACTTCGTGTTCAAGTGTTGATGTCTGCAATGCAATGCAGGGTTACCCAGCTAAGCAGTCCCAAATATGGATAAAAGTGAAAAATGTGCACCTGAAAGTGGTATACAGTTTTACAGCTGACTCGTTTATCATGACACTGGTGAGGTTTGCCGGTAGAAGCGATATTCCAAGGGAAATTAAATCTTGTGGCAGCTAAACGCAGATAGAAGTAATACCATGAGAGTTGGATTGTAGAGTATATTCATACTGACTTGCACATGAACAGAATAGACTGGCGTTTCAATCATCTGGCTGTTAGTTTGGAATCTAATGATTCTCTGTTCGCAAGGTTTTAAGTTCTTCGAATACAAGCAGCCCTCAACATGAATGTGTTTTACATGTCCCACAGTAGAAGCTCAACGTATTGTTAAAGACTAACCTTTAGTTCTTATTGCAGATGCCTTGAAGTGTTTTGAAGCAATAACGCCAGTGAAGCTGCTGTTTTTGAGAGAGAACGTAACAGGTTTCAGTGATACTTTATCAAGTAACAGAAATTCGAAAAGATAGAGGGAAGAGAAGTAATTGGCAAGGTTATCCAGAAAGCAGTAGCCCAGAGAATATGTTTCTTAGTTTCAAATTAACTCGAACACAGTTATAGGAGGTAGCTTGGCAGCGATATGTGCCGAATTTTTCTAGAGAAATAAGCGGACTTTGGGTTCTGTATGGAGAGTGGCACCTAGCAAGCATGGATAAGACTTGATGATAGGAAAATTAATACTAGTTGGAGACATCGGAAAACTTTAATATTGAGGAAGTATATATTAGATAATTAAATTAATCTCTGAGTGCATTGTTGCAAGTTCTAGGGATGACGATGTCAAACATAGTTTCATGTATATTACTATAAACGATGAGGTTCAATGATTTCCCAATTCTCTGTTTTTCGTTTGTTAACTGAGTGCTTGTTATGCTTATTTTCATATGGATTTGTGCTGACCATTCGTTAGTCTGTGAAATGAACCTGCAGTGGTATTGGTTCTAACCACATGATCCTCGAAACTGAGCATGAGATAGCTGAGAAAATTCATACTCAACATTTAACATGGAGAGAAGGTCAGCATTGCTGAACGCGGCAACAAGAAATTTGAATGTTTTGGCTCGGTAACGAAGGCACGGTCACATAACCTCTCGCCTATTGTATCAAATATATTACTCTCTTCCCAGCTCAAATGTGTTCTTCAGAAGTGCTAAACATCACACTGCTGATTGTAACGATACGACGAGTCAGAATAGACAATGACGTGACTTCCATGTAAGATATTATAGATTAGGTAGTCACATAGTGACAAATCCACAATTTTGGAATTAGGTCTATTATTGTAGTAGCAAAGATAAATGTACTAATATCGAAATACACCATAAACCATTAGCCATAAAGATTCATCAAAATAGATAAACTCTTGTGTGTACACTTGTTTGCTACCAAGCAAAGTTGTAGATACAGGACTTCTCTGCCCACCCCGAATACCTGTCATCAGAATTGACTGCCTTAAGTGGAGTTTGTCAGGGCTGTCCGTTCTCCCCAATTTATTTAACTTTGTTATGTACATCCTTTTAGAGATAACGCCGTCACTATCTAAATTTCAAGGGTTTATCTACCTGAAGACTCATTTGTTGACATAAAATGGGTTTTACTTATCTTAAAAGTTTCATCAGTCATCATGGGCTGATATCTGACAAAATCATGGCACGGATTCAAAACCTCGTTCGGTGTTCATCAACCTGTGTCACAAGTAGCTTAGACGAGATATCCGTCTACCAACCAATGTATGAGTCTACTGTGCAGCAGTTCAATGTCCTACATTATGTATTTAACACATGGTCATTAAGAAAAGGACATTTGTATTTTACTAGTATTCTATCATAAGTGTCTTCAAAGCATCACTTGTGTATTTTAGAACCATTAAGTAAGCACTGCCAAGGTAAACCACAGGGTACTAGATGAAGATCGAAAATCGATCGATGGGGTATCGAATCTTCATCAGTTGTGGTTGAAACATGTATCTCGTACGCTCGGTCACCGCATACCTCGACGGGTGATATATAATGTAGCAGGTTAGAAAAAAGCTAAGGGCGGTCAAGCTAAGACGTAACATCAGTCTATAAAGTCACTGACTGCTGGACTGAGCCATGTTAACAGGTGTGAACTGGCTGGTTAGGGTTCGCGTGATAATCATAACTAATGGTTAAAGACTATGGGTGACATGGCTCGAAATCGTTTTCATTGGAACAGGCACGTCCACTCCTTGTCTTTCCTTAGATCCTAAGTTTCTATATTCTTTGTAGTTTTTATTCCACCAATTTATATTTCCTTGAATAGTGTTTTTTATCCCTAATCTTTCCTATCAAACCTAAAACTGTTACTTCATCTACTAACAATTTCATCTCGCTTTGCTAATGAAGCATAGCGTCTTAAACTGATGTACACATGTGTTTAGTCATACGTTACGTTTACCGGGCTAAGTGGTAAATGCACTCAACTTTCAGCCATATGGTCATACGCTCGAGACCTGTTTTACATACTTTGGTTTGTTCGGCCTGGTGTTATAACTCGTCTTCGTTCAATAATTATGATCGTAAAACGGAGAAAATGAGCTTTTATTTTATTTATGGATTGTATTTATTACATATTCAGCATTATTAGAGTTACGCATTATTATTTCCTTCGTATTAGGTTCTAAAGAACTCAAAGCTGAAAACAAATCAATTATGAGCCGTGTTTTGTATGCAGCTCCTCCAAAGTTTAAAGTATGTAGTTAACAAAGTAACTTGTTATAAACATAATATCCAAAATATCTCAAGCTAACAAATCCTTAGTGTAACAGCAGAAAATTCTAAATCATTCAGCAGATGTATCAAAGTGAGAGCGTCCTATTTCATCTAGTTATTTAGTCAAACTAGTTCTGTAAACATTTATTTTACAGCTTTTTATAACTTGATAACCTACATACTTATGAACTTTGGAAAGTTACTGGATTGGAAAGAAATCACGGGAACTCCAGAGAGACTTGCTTCACTAGGATATGACCAAAATATAGGTGACTAAAATCCGACCTGCTGAAATACCAGGTAGTAAACAACCAATCCCA